AGAAAAGTAGGATACTTTGCCCTCTGACTATACTCTTGTATAATGAACAAACTCTTCTATATAAAGTTTCACTGTATAAAGACCCATCTTGATTTCAGATAAGAAAGTTTTATTGATCTTGCAACTATCAATTCTGCTCTGTTCCTCCATAAGCAAGTACCCAACCAATCATAGTAAATTTACATTAAGCTTAAAGGCCATTGGTATGAGTAAAAAAATTTCATCTCGTTAATATTTAGGTCAGTACCTTAAAAAGCCAAGCACATAGCAAGCACTCAATAAATGCCTGATCGATTGCATTTTTAATCTTTTATCTTTTTTTTTTTTTTTTTTTTTTTTTTTTTGAGACAGAGTCTTAACTCTCTCCCTCTGTCACCCAGGCTGAAATGCAGTGGCGTGATCTCAGCTCACTGCAACCCCCGCCTCCCAGGGTCAAGCAGTTCTCGTCCCTCAGCCTCCTGAGTAGCGGGTACTACAGGTGTGTGCCACCATGTTGGCCAGGCTGGTCTTGAACTCCTGGCCTCAAGTGATCCACCCACCTCGGCCTCCCAAAGTGCTAGGATTACAGGCGTGAGCCACCGTGTCTGGCCTAGTCCTTTATCATATGCTCTAATTAATTACAATTGGCCACTTTTCAACTAAACCTTTCCTCCCAAAAAGGACTGCCCATCACACTTACAAAGCCATGTAAATGGCATCCATGGAACAAACTAGAATTGATTTCTTATTTCATAGAGGAAAGAATTCCATCCACTGACTTAATTATCTGTAGTGCTTAAGATGTGATGTGCTGGGCCGGGCGCGGTGGCTCAAGCCTGTAATCCCAGCACTTTGGGAGGCGGAGACGGGCGGATCACGAGGTCAGGAGATCGAGACCAGCCTGGCTAACACAGTGAAACCCCGTCTCTACTAAAAAAATACAAAAAACTAGCCGGGCAAGGTGGCGGGCGCCTGTAGTCCCAGCTACTGGGGAGGCTGAGGCAGGAGAATGGCGTAGACCCAGGAGGCGGAGCTTGCAGTGAGCTGAGATCCGGCCACTGCACTCCAGCCTGGGCGACAGAGCGAGACTCCGTCTCAAAAAAAAAAGAAAAAAAGATGTGATGTGCTTAACAGTGTTTAGTGAGAGAAAGATTCTCTGTTCCCTGGTCCTGTTTCTTGGCCTTTTCTCCATCTGCTGCTCATTTTTATAGCCAGCTTCCAGGTGCATGCCATATTTTCTCCATTCTGGTGGAAAGATGAATGTATATTTTAAAATTGAATGAAAACTACAAAGCCTGGCTGTGTTTTATTATCCCCATCTCTGTTTGTCAATTTGAAGAAATTAAAGGGAGGTAACGATTCTATTATCCCCATCTCTGTTTGTCAGTTTGAAGAAATTAAAGGGAGGTAACGATTCTAAGACCCCGTAGTACAGAAACATTCTGCAAAAAGCAGTAGTATTTGAAGGATCATTTTTAAAAGTTTAATATCAGTATTTTAAATGGAAGAAATTTGTTCTACCTCATCAATTCTAACTTTAAAAGAATTCCTATAAATTATTAACAAAAAGATGCCAAATTCATTCTGATGATAAACACTTAAGAGTAGAGATTGTTTTAATTCTGTGTACTTAAAATCATTTTCTGTGTGCTGAAACTACTTGTTTTGCGTCAGAATTTTCTATTGCATTTCAGTTTTTAGCATTTCTTCTAGAACCTTTAGAGTGTCAGATGGTACATCCTAGTGTTTCTGTTAGGATGCAGATAAGTTGTAGTCTTGCCAGATTGAACTGAAAATGAAAATACTCGGCCAGGTGTGGTGGCAGGCGTCTGTAATCTCAGCTACTCCGAAGCAGGAGGATCGCTTGAATCTAGGAGTTCGAGGCTGCAGTGCGCTATGATCACACTTAAGAATAGCCACTGCATTTCAGCCTAGGCAACATAACAAGACCCCATCCCTATTAAATAAATATAAAAATTGAAATATTCGGTTTTTTCATTTTTTGGGTAAGCAAGTGTTCTTCCATTTCTTTCTAAGATTTTGAAATGTGATGCTTGCAAGTTGTTTGCCTTCTCCATGAAAATACTCACTAGACATTTCTGCTGCCTTTAAGAGGAATTTAAAATTCTTTACAAAAATCAATTAACTATGCTTACCACAATCTTAGTATTTATCCTTAGTTTTGACTTAAACAATTTGTAATACGTATTGCCTCCTCAAAGAGATGGAGGTCTAGAGATAAACAAATTCTAGGTGAGTTTATTATTTACCTACAGTAAATTAGTATTTTTATAGCTAATTGGACTTTAGCAACACATAAGTTATTTTAGCTTCCCAAAACCTTGATAATTTTATTAGCTATGTTAATGTCTCTGATTTAATTTTGTCCTTTCAATTTGTAAAACTCCTTCTCCCAATATATATTATTGTCTTTCGTGTAATTAAAGTTAATATTGTAGTTAGCAATTGCCAGCGATAATTGGTTAGGGCTAACTCCCCTGTTATTAGTAACTATTTGCATAATATATTGCTCAGCATAGAGCTTGTAATTTAAAATGATTTCTAGGTTGTGTATCCTTTTGTTATTAATCCATCTTACTGCATTTTCTTAGAATAAAGAGTATCAAGGGAACTGACTCCATACTATTTTTAGTCAGAAAATTAATACATTTCATAATTAATATTGTAATATCCACGTTGAGGCCAAACAATGTAAAATTGATGGTTAACTATTTGCATTTTATACTGTAAGCTTTTCTCTTGAACTGTCTCATGCTTTCTACAGTTATGACTTAAAGTATTTACATTTCTGTCTCTGAGCATAATGTATCTGTATGAAAATTACAACTGCTACAAGCTGTCAACCTGACTATCAGCAGTGTCAGGTGAGCTTATGGCAGAAGCAAAAGATTAGAATTTGAAGCAAAAGATTAGAATTTGAGTTGATTTGGAAAAATAAAATTGACCTATGCAATATAAAATGTTTTTTGTACTGAAGGGTGAAGGGCATGGGGAAATCCTCCTTGTTATCTGGTGTCATAACCTCTTCTGTGCCTGTAGATAATACAGTTGGCCCTTGAACAGTTTGGGATTAGGGTTATCAAAAGTGTAAATCAGGGCTTCCCAAAAACTTAACTACTTGACCAGAAGCCTTATTGATAACAGTCAGTTAACACGTACTTTTTTATGCCTTCAGAGTTTTATACAATAAGATAAGCTAGAGAATGGAAGACATTATTAAGAAAATTGTGAAGGCTGGGTGCAGTGGCTCACGCCTGTAATCCCAGCACTTTGGGAGGCCAAGACAGGCGGATCACTTGACGTCAGGAGTTCAAGACCAGCCTGGCCAATATGGTGAAACCCTGTCTCTACTAAAAATTCAAAAATTAGCCGGGCATGTTGTTGCATGCCTGTAGTCCCAGCTACTCGGGAGACTGAGGCATGAGAATCTCTTGAACCCGGGAGGCGGTAGTTGCAGTGAGCCAAGATTGTGCCACTGCACTCCAGCCTGGGCAACAGAGCAAGACTGTCTCCAAAAAAAAATAAATACATACATATATATATATATATATATGTATTTTTTTTTAATTATAAGGAAGAGAAAGTATATTTACTATTCATTACGTAGAAGTAGATCATCATAAAGGTCTTCATCCTCTTCATCACCATGTTGAGGAAGAGGCTGAGGAGGAAGGGGGGGCCTTGGTCTTGCTATCTCTGGGGTAGTGGAGGTGGAAGAAAATTTGTGTATAAGTGGATCCCTAAAGTTCACACCCATGTTGTCAGGTGTCACCTGTGATGCCACAGGCTTCTATATGCGTCTCTAACCTGTTTCCACAAGAGGCCAATTCCTGAGGGCTGTTGCAACAGGACTTGGCAGAGGAATGAAAGGGTTCCTGAAAAACCCTCCCGGAGTACCTATAGGAACTACTTTGATCCGTAATTCAACTCTCGTCTGCCTGCTAAGACAGAAACCTCAGATCTCCCTCAGCTTGTGGGTGGTACCATGGGAACCATCTGCATTTTCCAGTTATGACTTCACCTTTCTGTGTTTAATCTGCCGTCTTCTCATTTCTTTGCCCAGATAAGGTGATCTGTGTCTATGATGGTCCAAAGATAAACAAGAATAATATTTCAGTATATATTTGCAACTCACAAATTTTTCTTAGAATGATTTCTTTTATGTCATTACATATAATACAATAAGTAAACAAGCTATTTAACCATAGTTTTAAACTAGTCTTCTAAACCCTACTGTGTTGCAAATGCTGACAATTGAATAGGCTTTAATGTTTAATGGACTTTTAAAGTTGTAAATGGGTAGAGGTCAGGAGTTAGAAAACGGCACTTTTTTATTTTTTCATTTTTTGAGACAGATTCTCGCTCTGTCGCCCAGGCAGTGGCACAATCTTGGCTCACTCCAACCTCTGCCTCCCAGGTTGTCAAAGTATAACTTAGGACTTCACAAAACTTAACTACTTGGTTCCTGGGTTCAAGAGATTCTCCTGCCTCAGCCTCCCCAGTAGCTGGCATTACAAGTGTGTGCCACCACACCCAGCTAAATTTTTGTATTTTTAGTAGTGACTGGGTTTCACCATGTTGGCCAGGCTGGTCTTAAACTCCTGACCTCAAGTAATCCACCCACCTCCCAAAGTGCTGGAATTACAGGCATGAGCCACGGCATCTGACCAGTTTTAAGAAGCTAAACAAGCCATGTGCAGTGACACGCCCCAGTAGTCCCAGCTACTCAGGAGGATTGAGTGAGCCCAGGAGTTGAGGCCAGCCTGGGCAACACAGTGAGTCACCGTCTCTAAACAAAAATAAATAAATAAAAATTTTAAAATACAAAGCTAAACAAATCGGATTACATGTAATACATTTGCCTCCTTTAAGTTTTCTACTAAGGGCTATTCTAAGGATAGATTATCTTGAAATTATTTTGAAATTGAAAACTGAATTATATTTTTACTTTTCTCTGATGCACTTTCATTATTTTCTCTACCCCTTGGAACCTTTTTCAGTTTCATCAGGCTGGGGAGAAATGCCTCATGTTCACTCAAAGACTGAAAACTCTTGGGGAGAACCATCCTCCCCTTCTCCCCTGGTGGATAATGGCACAGCAGCGTGGGGGAAGCCACCCAGCAGTGGTAGCGGGTGGGGAGATCACCCTGCCGAGCCGCCAGTGGCGTTTGGAAGAGCTGGCGCACCTGGTGCTGCCTCAGCCCTGTGCAAACCAGGTAAGCCTAGCATCGTGCTTGCCCTGATCTGGCAATTTAGAAATGACTCAAAGTATTGAATTTTAAAAATTAGAGTTTTAGGATACTTTCCTCATTATATTTACGCTTTTACTACAAACCAAGAATCTTGGCCAAGCACAGTGCCTCACACCTATAGTCCCAGCACTTTGGGAGGCCAAGGCAGGAGGATCTCTTGAGCCCAGGAGTTCGAGACCAGCCTGGGCAGCATAGTGAGACCTTGTCACTACAAAAAAAATGGAAAAATTAGCCGGGCATGGTGGCACACGCCTGTAATCCCAGCTACTCGGGAGGCTATGGTGGGAGGATTGCTTGAGCCCGGGAGGTTAAGACTGTAATGAGTCATGATTGTACCACTGCATCCAGCCTGGGCAATAGAGCAAGACCCCATCTCTTAAGGAAAAAAAAAAAGCCAAGATTATAAAATATTTGCCATGCCTGATACGTGAACACAAAGGCGGTTTTAAGAGATGTCCATGCCCTCCTTTTATAATAATACAAATAAATGCAAGAATCAAAGCAACCAGCATATTATGTTTGATTCTCCTGGTAATGCCCACACTACTTCAGCAGTATTCTTGTACCTGCCACATTAAGTAATTTAAACCTGCTATTTCACTGAGCAAGATAGATAAAGCATGTCATCTTCTTGAGATAAGTTTTTGAAAATATGTTTTACCTCACAGCAGCCTAACGTATCTTGCCATCTTGCCCTGCTTTCATCTTGTCAACAGAATTCCACTTTGGGTGGAATTCGCCATGTTTGTTTTCAAGTTATTTATCCCTAAACAACTTGAAAAAATAAATAAATTGTACATTTTCCTCCCATTTTCTGAAAGTGTAGCAAATTTGCAGGTAATAAATATCCTTATAAATGTCCAGATTATGCATACCACGTGGAATTCTTATAATATATGGGTGTTTTGCAATGTGATATTTGTAATATTAACATGAATATAAGATTACTGATTTAAATCTGATATTAAAATTAATTCTGGCTGGGCATGGTGGCTCATGCCTATAATCTCAGCACTTTGGGAGGCCGAGGTGGGTGGATCACCTGAGGTCAGGAGTTCGAAACCAGCCTGGCCAACAAGGTGAAACCCCGTCTCTACTAAAAATACAAAACTTAGCTGGACATGGTGACGGGCACCTCTAATCCCAGCTACTCAGGAGGCTGAGGCAGGAGAATCACTTGAACCCGGGAGGCGGAGGTTGCAGTGAGGTAAGATCAGGCCACTGCACTCTAGCCTGGAAGATAGAGACTCCATCTCAAAAAAAAAAAAAAAAAACCTAATTGTTCACATAACTGCAGAAACTTCATCTTTTTTGTTTTTGTTTTTGTTTTTGTTTGAGATGGAGTCTGGCTCTGTTGCCCAGGCTGGAGTGCAGTGGCATGATCTCAGCTCACTGCAAGCTCCACCTCCTGGGTTCACGCCATTCTCCTGCCTCAGCCTCCCGAGTAGCTAGGACTACAGGCGCCTGCCACCACGCCCAGCTAATTTTTTGTGTTTTTAGTAGAAACGGGGTTTCACCATGATAGCCAGGGTTGTCTCAATCTCCTGACCTTGTGATTCGCCCGCCTCAGCCTCCCAAAGTGCTGGGAGCACCCGGCCAGAAGCTTCATCTTTTCTTTGGACATTATTAGATGTCCTAGATATTAAAATGCAACTTTATTGCTTTTATATTTTGTTTTTTTGCTAATGCTCCATAGTGTGTTCCATATAGCCACCACTCTGCTCAAAGTATTTATTCCATTTATATTACTTTTTGTTACAAACCTAAAGGATAGGGAAATTTCTGAGTACTTAGATTCATGTGCCATTTTGAGGCAGTGTATTCTATCTTGAGAATTTTTCCTTGGAGGCACAGTTATGTGCCTATTCTATATGTTTATCAGCATTATATCTTCATTAAAGACCCAACTAATTGCGCTATTACCTTGTCTTTGCCCTTCTTCATATTCTTCCAAGAAGTGAAAATTTGGGGTAATTTTGATACTGAAAATCACTTTGTATTTTAAGAAAGGAGGGAAAAACAATATCTGAAGTGGAAACTCAGTAGTCACTTTGTAGCTCCATCTGCCTAAGACCTCCATCCTGCTAGTCTGTAAGCGTCTCCTGTGGGCTTGTTAGAAATGCAGCCTGTGGAGCCCGACCTCAGGCCTGCCACACTGCACGTGATCCAGCTGACTGTCATGAGTGGGCAGTTTGAGAAGCTCTGCTCTGTGTCACTTAATCCTCACAGGTTTGGATCAAGCAGTGATTAAGAATCAGACAGAGGTGGTCATTTCAGCAGCACACGTACTAAAACGGGAACAATACAGAGAAGACTAGTGTGGCTCCTATGCACGGATGAGATACAGATTTATGAAGCATCCCATTACAGATTTTCCTGCCACTTGTGATGGCTCATGCCTGTAATCCCAACACTTGGGATGCTGAGGCAGGAGGACCGCTTGAGCCCAAGAGTTTGAGACCAGCCTGGGCAACATAGTGAGACACCATCTCTATTAAAAAGAAAAATTTTGCTGGATGTGGTGGCACATGCCTATAGTCCTAGCTACTCAAGAGGCTGAGGCAGGAGGATCACTAGAGCCCAGGAGTTTGAGGTTGCAGTGAGCTATGATTGCACTACTGTACTGTAGTCTGGGCAACAGAGCAAGACCCTGTTTCAAAAAAAGAAAAAGTGTACAAATTTTAAAAACCACACAGGACAATGAAATGTTTCAGAAATCTACATTTCTGTAGCCTTTTCATACCATGTATTGCCACCTTCCCTGGTGGCCCCAGGATTTGTTCTTAGCATGTTTGTGTTTCAGAATGATCTATAGTTGGTTAAGAAAGTTTAGAACAGCACAGAGTACAAATAGCTGGTGTTTGAAGGAAAAATTATATACATATACATGTCTATTTACATATGTAGCAGAAGAAATTCAATTCTGAGATCTGGGAGAAATGAAGGCATAAAAAAGGTAGATTGCAGTGCATCATTTGTCCCACCTCCCCTAAATTATTTGTTATAGTGGAAGCATCGTCCGCGTTAGGAACGTGAATTTGATAAGTTCGTGTTTGCTCTATTTCTAGCTTCAAAATCTATGCAAGAAGGCTGGGGCAGTGGTGGGGATGAAATGAACCTCAGTACCAGCCAGTGGGAGGATGAAGAAGGGGACGTGTGGAATAATGCTGCTTCCCAAGAAAGCACCTCCTCCTGCAGCTCCTGGGGGAATGCCCCCAAAAAAGGACTTCAAAAGGTAATGCGTACAACGTTCTTAAAGATGGTATACCCTGAAAACCAAAGGTACTTCAGACACATTCAGTATCCAGTTAATCAGATGAAAAGATAGACCTGAGGTTCTCAAAGTAGTCTTAGGACCCTTGGAGGTCCCAGAGACCTCAGGGGAGTAAGCAAGGTCACAACTATTATCATGCCAGTACTACAAGACTGTCTTTTTCATTTGAAATCTCTCTCCAGTATAGAGTAGAGGTGTCCAGAGATCTTTATTATAGCAGAGAATGTGCAGAAACAGACATGAAAATCCAGCCGTTTATCTTAAGCCAGACATAGAGATTTGCCAAAAGGCAAAACAATGCCACCCTTCTCGTGAAAAATTAATTACTTTTTATTTTAAAATGTTAGGTTAATGTGTAATGACTTTGTTGTTATTTTTAAACAAAATATTTTTAAATTTTCTCAGTTTTAATTTCTAATACAGTAAATAGCAAAAGACACAAATCATATAAACAAAAGTTCTTTGGGATCTTCAGTCTCTAAGAGAGTTTTATAGGGTCCTGAGACCAAAAAGTTTGAGACAGATGGTTAAGAAGTCTTAAAACAGATGGGCAGGCCGGGCACCGTGGCTCACGCCTGTAATCCCAGCACTTTGGGAGGCCAAAGTGGGTGGATCACTTGAGGTCAGGAGTTCGAGTCCAGCCTGGCCAACATGGTGAAACCCCATATCTACTAAAAATACAAAAATTAGCTAGGCGTGGTGGTGGGCGCCTGTAATCCCAGCTACTCAGGAGGCTGAGGCAAGAGAATTGCTTAAACCTGGGAGGCAGAGGTTACAGTTGCAGTGAGCCAAGAACGCTTCACTGTACTCCAACTGGGGCGACAAAGCGAGACTCCCCAAAAAAAAAAAAAAAAAAAAGGCACAAATGGGCAGTCATCTAGAAAAAATTGAGATACACATCTCATATATATGTGAGATACATGAGACATGTATCTCTTTTTTTTCTAGATGACTGCCCATTTCAGTCCACATTCAGCATGACTGAATTTCAAGTAGGTCACAAATTTAAATATTAAAAATATAAAAATGTGAAAGAACATTAAAAACGATTTTGGAGTCAGAGAGGCCTATCTAACTATGACCAAAATCTAAAAGGCATAAAGGAAAATCTTTTGCATCAATAGATAAATATAAAAACTGTACATGACAGAAAATACCATAATCAAAGTCAAAAGAAAAATAGCAAACTGGAAAAATATGTTTATAACTCATATCATAGAGAGGGCTGATCTCCGTGATACGTAAAGTCCTAGAAACTGATTAAAAAAAAAAAAAAAATCAGCCAGAAAAAAAAAAAAAATCACAGAATGTGAAGAGTAGCTGGTCCACAGAGAAGGAGCACCAGTGGTCCTAGACACAGACTCACAGGAAGGCAGTGCAGTTCCAGACAGCACTCAGAGATGCCTGCCATTTTTCATCTCTCAGACCTGCAGAAAGCCAACATTTTGATTTTTTTTTTTTTTTTTTTTTTTTTTTTTTTTTTTGAGGCGGAGTCTCGCTCTGTCGCCCAGGCTGGAGTGCAGTGGCCGGATCTCAGCTCACTGCAAGCTCCGCCTCCCGGGTTCACGCCATTCTCCTGCCTCAAGACTCCCGAGTAGCTAGGACTACAGGCGCCCGCCACCACGCCCGGCTAGATTTTTGTATTTTTTAGTAGAGACGGGGTTTCACCGGGTTAGCCAGGATGGTCTTGATCTCCTGACCTCGTGATCCACCCGTCTCGGCCTCCCAAAGTGCTGGGATTACAGGCTTGAGCCACCGCGCCCGGCCTTGATTTTTTTATTTAAAGAAATTTTTTTAGGGACAGTCTTGCTGTGTCACCTAGGCTGGAGTACAACCTTGAACTCCTGGGCTCGAACTGTCCTCCTGCCTCAGCCTTCTGAGTAGTTGGGTCTACATGTGCATGCCACTCTGCCCAACTAATTTTATTCTTTATTTTTTTCTGTAGAAACAAGAGTCTCGCTTTGTGGCATTTATACAGTTTTGTATTGCAGCATTTTTGTAGTAAAAAGATAAAAATGGTTTAAATGTACATTGGTGGAGTAACAAGTTAATTGTCATTTCTACATTATGCAAAACTATTTAAAAGGAAATTCTATATATGTATTGATATGAAAAGATCACTAAAGTACATTGTTAAATGAAAAGCAAGGTGCAGAAAAGCATGTACAGTGCACACCCTATTTTGTGGGGTAGGAGGAAGAAAACTGCTTGTGTGTATTTGTGTGTGTGCATGCATGCACACATAGTGTATTAGCTTCTACAGAATGTTCTGAATTCTCTGGAAGGGCAAATAAGAAACTGCTATGAGTAGTCTCCTCTTGGAGAGAACAGGAACTAAGCAGATGGGGCGGCATGAGATGAAAACTTTCTTTATACCTTGTGTATGCTTTTGAATCGTGTGAATGTATTCATGTTCAAAAAAATGTAGTTTAAAAAAGCATTCAGTTAATAATCAGCAGAAACCAGAAACTAAAATCAGAGCTTTCCACTCATGAGTAGTAGAAGTGATTACAGACATCAGAAAGAATCTTTTTTACAGTTGGGCTGGCAAATAATCCAGTTAATGATGGGACCAAAAATACCAAATTGGTAAATTAAAATATTGGCTGATCTGGCTCTGGCCGCATAGTAATGATTAAAATAGCCCCCAAATAAGCTAGTTCCTTGAGGAAAGAAAGCCTGTTTGTAGAGCTCCATGTGCTCCATGGTATAACTGTGGCAATCTCAATTGTGAAAAACACTATGAAGAATATTTTTAGAAGGGGATTTTTTTCATATTATGATAATGCATCATTAGAACCTTTGCATTTATAGGCTCAGAGGGAATGTTTTGTTTTGTTTTGTTTTGTTTTGTTTTTGAGATGGAGTTTCACTCTGTCGCCCAGGCTGGATCGCAGTGGCGCGATTTTGGCTCACTGCAAGCTCTACCTCCCAGGTTCACGCCATTCTCCTGCCTCAGCCTCCCAAATAGCTGGGACTACAGGTGCCTGCCACCACGCCCGGCTAATATTTTGTGTTTTTAGTAAAGATGGGGTTTCACCGTGTTAGCCAGGATGGTCTTCATCTCCTGACCTCATGATCCACCCATCTCGGCCTCCCAAAGTGCTGGGATTACAGGTGTGAGCCACCGCGCCCAGCCAGAGGGAAGTTATTGAGAAGCCTCCTGGCTCCTCTGTGGTGCTATGCCCTCCCCCCGACACTGCTCTTTCTGTAGCTGACCTTGTTCCTCATCCTCTCCTTCACTGACATTTTCCTCCTTATTCGTTTTCTTTACCCTGTGAGCTATAAGTAACAAATAGTTAATAAAACTAACAGGTTTTTTCTCTCTTTCTTCTTGCTGCCTGTTTATTCATTGGAATAAACCCCCCTCATTTTATCATTTTTCAGAATAAAGCTCAGAAAAGGGCAAAAACTGTGTAAATGATTTTTAGTAAACTTCACACAGGGCTATGTTCAAGGGAGCACTTAGAATTATTGGATAGTAAAAATAGTATATATTTGTGATGAACTAAATTATCTGGGAAAGAGAAATAATTATCTTGCTTTTTTTAAGTTCATAAATTGCACACATATACCAACCTGCAAATGTACCTTGATGCTTTCCATGGTAGTAGCCATGAAATACTGTTAGAGAGTTTCTGGAATACAGCATTATTCAACGTTAATACAAAAAGATCCTGTGACTTTTAAATGACCCTGAATTTAAGCTGTCTCCTATTTCTGGAAGAAATGCATTAAAATATAGCTCATGGACTTTCCCCTTTCCCACACTTTGTTCCAGGGCATGAAGACATCTGGCAAGCAGGATGAGGCCTGGATCATGAGCCGGCTGATCAAACAACTCACAGACATGGGCTTCCCGGTAACTGCTGCCATATTTTACTGCTACCTACCATGCTTCCCGAAATGAAATGCCCTGGTTGTTTCCTCTCCATGTTTGCTCTGTGTGTCAGAAGGCACCAGGATTATTTGAGGAATGAGATATTGACATCATCTAACTCTTGAATCTCCCTTTTACCTGGGTAGTTTGGGTTAGGGATCATTGCTTTGAACTACAGCAAAGACCCACATAATTTCTGTCAAAAAGGGTGTGAGAGCCTTTTCCTAGAAAAGGAAATGCTGTTTTTTTGTTTTGTTTGTTTGTTTGTTTGTTTGGAGACAGGGTCTTGCTCTGGCACCTGGGCTGGAGTGCAGTGGTGTGATCAAGCAATCCTCCTGTCTCAGCCTCCCGAGTAGCTGGGACTACAGGCATGAGCCACCATGCTCGGCTAATTTTTGTATTTTTGGTGGAGATGAGGTTTCACCATGTTGGCCAGGCTGGTCTTGAACTCCTGGGCTCAAGCAATCTGCATGCCTCGGCCTCCCAAAGTGCTGGGATTACTGGCATGAGTCACTACACCCAGCCAGAAAATGCTGTGTGATTTTTAATTTTCATTGGTTTTATACAGTTTTATGTTTACTTTTAATTCATAATTAAAAGTGAATTTCATTAGTGTATAGAGTATATTGACAAAGATCACAAAAGAAAACTTGGTATAAAGTACTAAAGTTTCATATCCAGAAAAAGTATCCTAACCAGACCTGCTTAGTTCCTAAGTTTCCAGTCGTATGTAGGGAGAATTCATATTGCAGAGCGTTCCCCTGAAAATACCACAGTCTGTTCAGTTCCTGAGATTGGACGGCAGTTCAGATGACAAGGAATGTTGCCCATATTCGCCATGTATTCCCTTCATGTGCCTTTTTTCAAAATCCTTATTCAAATGAATGTTTATCTTTTAATTACTGTAGATGCCTTTTAAAAAATGAGTCCAGAATGGCCTCCATGTAGAGGAAGAACCCCATCCTTCACATTGGGCACAGGCCCTCTGCATTGGGCAGGGCGTTGTGTTGGTGGCCCAGGCTCTGCCTGTGTGAGTGGGCAAGAGGTTGACCGTGGCCTCAGCGTGTCCTGATTTATACTGTCTGAGTTATCGTGGCACCCTAGTGGCTTCTGTCATCCCCTGAGATTACTGTGTTCCAGTCATAAATTATCAAAATGAATCTACTTGTTTTGTTTTTCTGTTTCTTAGAGAAAAGTTGTTGATGATAGAGCCTAGAGTTGATGAAGTGAGAAGTGAAGCTCTGCACTCCGACAGTGACTGACATAGTTGCTGGGACTAGAGAGAGGCATGGAGATGGGCCCATGACAGGAATCCTGTCCTAGGAGAGCATCCTGTCCTCATGGCAGGTGTCCTTGTCTGTGGCCCTGCTGTCTTGGCATAGATTGCATCTTTATGGAATCAGTGCTACTCAGTGTTGTACAGAATGATTTTAGGACCAGACACGGTGGCTCACGCCTGTAATCTCGACACTTTGGGAGCCCGAGGCAGGAGGAGAACCACTTGAGCCCAGGAGTTTGAGACCATCCAGGACAACATGGAGAGAACCTATCTCTACAAAAATAATACTAATAGTTACATTTTTAAAAAATGAAAATGATTTTAGGAGTACTTACAGAGTTTTACTGTCACTCTGCATTTTGTTTCCAAAGTGTTAAATACACGTGCTTTACTCTGAAAATCAAGTCAATACTTTTCTTATTACAAGTATTTTTAATTCAAAAGACATTGTCTCTAACTTCAACAGTGAAGAAATGTATTTCCAGTTCCAAAACCTAATAACTATGTCTTTAAGTTGATAGTAATTAAACTATTTGTAAGCTTTCCTTCTGTTAATTAATGTGCATTAATGAAAACTCTGTTTTCCTACTCAGAGAGAGCCAGCCGAGGAGGCCTTGAAGAGTAACAATATGAATCTTGATCAGGCCATGAGTAAGTCATACAACATCCTTTTTAAAAAGGTACCCAGCTGTGAAGTTTTACTTTCCAGAAGCATTTGGTTGTAGTCATGGTTTAATGGTTGAATATGTCCTGGGTAGACAGGACCAGGCCACAGTGAAAGAGCAACCACACAACAGGCTGGAACCACAGAGTGAGTCTCTAGGGACTAGTGGACTTTGGAGCCGAATCGCCAATACCATAGTTGAAGCATGTTGGCTTTTCTCAATATTTTCCCGTATGTTTTAAAGGGAGGTAATAATGACACTCTGAGAGACACTGGAACCACACACTGGACTTCACTGGACGCTGAGTGCGTTCCTCATGCCTTGCCCCAGAGTGGACTTGCCTAGGGGCCAGCAGAAGCGTTGCCTTGCTGGTTGAGCACCAGCTCTTGTTGAGAGATAAGATTTTCTGTCAAGGAACAAGCAACCCTAGTTCTGGAGCTGCTTTAAAAGTAGTAATAATGTTAAATATTTACATTTAAATATAGTTGATTCTTATTTTCTTGGTGGTTATGTTCTATAAAGTCACCACAAACACTGAATTAATGAATACTAACCAGTGCTCCTAGGAGACATGGGGTTGGGTTCCTAGGAGACACAGGGTTGGGTTCCTATGAGCCTTTGCTCACAACATTTTTGTCAACCAGTCAATATATAACCTTGTTTTATATGTTTTTCTGTTTCAAGACACCTTATTTAATATTGATATATATTTCTCACAAGTAATTATATGCCATATTTGTTAATACTAAAACATTAACCAAGAAGGGTGTACCATTTTTCTGACCCTGGATAATGTGACCATAAATTTATTTGGCTTTCAGACTCATAACAATGCCTCCACTACACTCACGAATCCACAAATTTAGCCTCTTTTCCATAGCTCTATCACATGCCCAAAGGTTACTTGAGTACTTCTGAGCAGCCTCACATACAGGTCAGTGAATTTTCTCTTCCTTTTTCTGGATGTACCATGTCATTGATTCATGATCATTGAACTCAGGGCCAACAGTGCTTTAACTCATGCCTGCATGAAACTTACTTGACACACATACTTCCTCCGTAAGGTGCTTTACTGCCTTCTTGAGCTTAAAAACAGAAGACAGCACCTCAGCCCCACATGGGGGGACCATTTTAAACACCAGCATCACTGCAGAAAGCACAGAAATACGAAAAGCATGACAATAAATGGACGACGAAAAGGACACTTCTTTACAGCTTGAGATCTGAGGCTCAACCTGAACTGGGAACATGAATGTTGGGCAACTCACATTTTTTTGCCAATCTGCACATGTCCACAAATAACCACAGAAGTGCTGCAATTATTGATTTGGGGGTTACAAATTTTAGCAAGTAGGACAGTTTTACAAGTACAGATTTCATGAATAATGAGGATAGACTGCAGACTGTCTGATCATGCACGTGCGACAACATGTGGTGCAAACTGCCAGGGTGGGACAGAGCAGGGTGTGCTGCAAGAGGTGAATTCTAACTCCCTAGAACTGTGGAGCAGGATGGAGGGTGGGCCAAACACACACTAGTCATTAAGCCAACAGAGCCATGAGAATAGAAACAGTGTCTGTTTTGCACAGTATTGTATCCCCCACATCTGGAAGAACCCTTGCAGATACAGGACTCGGTGAATGGAGAGGCACAGCCATGAAGTAGGAGAGGAGCTGTTGCAGACAGAATAATCGGGAAGGCCCCTGCAAGAAAGTGACCATTGAGTTCACCAGAAGTGAGGAAGCAAGCTGTATAGAAAACTAGGGGAGGGGGTGCATCCCAGGGAAGAGGACAAGCCAAGCCCCTGAGGACCAGCCATGGCTGGTGTGGCTGCTGCAGAGAGAGCAGAGGAGCGGCAGGGCCAGATCAGAGAGTGCAGGAGCCATGGAAGGATGCACGAGACCAACCCCCATCCCCTCACCTGAATCCTTGGCAGCCGCTTGTCGGGCTCAGCCCTAGCAAAGCCAAGGGCTGTCTCTGCCCCTGGCTTCCCTGCGTTTAAAGGGGTGGAGGGTCTCCATCCCTCCTTGAGGCCTTAGCTGGTGCCTGTCTTGTGCTCAGCACTCACTTGTTTTGTTTACAGTGTTGCTTCTGTTTGTTGTGCTCCAGGCGCTCTGCTGGAAAAGAAGGTGGACGTGGACAAGCGTGGGCTGGGAGTGACCGACCATAATGGAATGGCCGCCAAGCCCCTCGGCTGCCGCCCGCCAATCTCCAAAGAGTCTTCCATGGACCGCCCCACCTTTCTTGACAAGGTATGAATATAGGTGGTTTTTTGTTTTTGCTTTTTTAACAAGAGGAGTTTTTCATTTCAACTGTGTCCTTAATACAAGCCAGATTAAAAATTTGCTGGACTGTAATACTTAAATGACTTTTGTCCATTTTTTTCTAACATTATGAATGTTTAACTCAAAGAAGGGAATGTCGTATTTCATGTGATGTTACTGAGAATGAAAAAGACTGGGATTGAAAATAGATTTTCATTTTTATTGTGTGATCTTGGCTGGTTTTCTGCTTCCATTTGTCCGGTGGGCAAGGATCATCAGATTTCCATTTTAAAACACAAATATCTCATTTTAAAAACACAGATCTTCCCTTTGGAAATGATGTGTTACATGTTTATCCTCAGGAAAAGGGATTGGAAGTGGTGGGGCTTGGGCACCCATCTCTGGCTGCCCCTTGTCAGTTGGCCACATGAGTGACCACAGCAGGCGTCCGTGGAAAACTCCCTGAATGTTTAGCAAGTCCAGTCACAGCTCAGTCCCCAGTGTTGTCATGTAATGATGTCCCCACTCCAGATTGGTGTGACTACAAAGCAGAGAAAAGCATTGCACTAAATTCAATGCAAACATTGAGCCTTGAAAATAAAATTGAAGTAAGGAAGGACACATTTAAAAAAGAAATCACCAATGAAAGGAGGCTGGGTGTGGTGGCTCACTCCTGTAAACCCAGCTGAGGTGGGTGGATCACCTGAGGTCAGGAGTTCGAGACCAGACTGGCCAACATGGTGAAACCCCATCTCTACTAAAAGTACAAAAATTAGCAAGCATGGTGGCCCACGCCTGTGATCCCAGCTACTTGGGAGGCTGAGGCAGGAGAATTGCTTGAACCCGGGAGATGGAAGTTGCAGTAAGCTGAGATCGTGCCATTGCACTGCAGCCTGGACAAGAGAGCAATACTCTGTCTCAAAATAAAAGAAAAAAATCAATGAAAGGAAAGGCTCACAAGCAAAGAATATCAGAGATGGGACTTGATCTTACTCTCAGAGTCCTCCAGCACGTGATCTGCCTCAGCTGCAGCTGTGGGGTAGCCCAGGGTGAGGCTCACATCCTCGTCCTCGTCCTCGTCCTTCCCATCGCCAGTGTGGACAGAGTTCAAACTCATAATGCCCAGTGAAATTGGAATTACAGATAAATAATTTTTGAAATCATACTAAAACATTACTGTTCATCTGAAATTCCAGTGTAACTCAGCATCATATATTTTTATTTGCTAAATCTGACAACCCTAGATTGGGACCCTGACATTTAAAATATGGAATAATGCACAGGCTGGTTGTGATGTTAGCTGACATAAATTTGCAAAAGACCTGGCACATAGCATGACCTCAATAGATGTAAATAATAATAATAATAATAATAATAATAATAAGGTTCTGTCTTTTATAACTTACTTTTATAACTCACCCTCTTCTTAGATTACACTATGAAACTGCTGTGTTTGTAGGTCAAAAACAAATGTCACAGAATTCAACCTATGTGTACCTACAGCTTTGGTAAAAAAAAGAATCTGTTTGTTTGAAAATGGTTGTAAAGTGCTTGTTGCCAATGCCTCCATCCTTCCTCTGTGCTCCTACCTGTTAGGAGCCAGTAGTTAGGAGAATAGTAGCAGCTAATATATGTGTTTGTAAAATACTTTTAAACTGAAAACAGCATCTTAATCCTATTTCTTTTTTTCTTTTTTCCCCCTCTTGCTTTTGCCCATGTTCTCCATTCCCTTATCCACACTTTTTTGATCTGTTAATTATTTATCCATCCATGCCTCCTCTGTTTCCTTGGGAAACTGTTTGGTGCTTTGTCTGCTGATGGACACTGCACACAGCTCACCCTTTCTTTCTCCAATCAGGATGGCGGCCTCGTGGAAGAGCCCACGCCTTCACCGTTCTTGCCTTCCCCAAGCCTGAAGCTCCCCCTTTCACACAGTGCACTCCCCAGTCAGGCCCTGGGTGGGATTGCCTCCGGGCTGGGCATGCAAAACTTGAATTCTTCTAGACAGGTAAGGCTGTTGGGAGAGAGCAACACGTGGCCTTTGTTTTACCTGCCTTCTAAAAAATGTGTGTTTGAGACATAAACTTTCTTATTTGTAGTTAATACCTCTATTTTAAAATATGACTGAAAATGTACAGGTAGTTGAAATACTACCAGGATTTCCCTTCAAGTGACTTATTGGAGTCAAGGGTTGAAGTAGGAAATGCTTTAGTTATATTTATTCTTAAACTTAACTAAAACGTGTTAAGTTCAGCACCCTTGGTCTAACTTGGGACTGGCTGAAGTGATAATGTGTTACACAGTGGTCTTCGGCTGCCAGATCCATCCAGAGGTCCAGGTAGTCCCCAGCCTCTTTCCTCCTGGCAACCAAAACGTTACATCTGTTGATCTGTGAGAAAGCACCACATTCTCCCCCTTTTTCCCAGAAATAAAGATGACATCTCTTGCAAGGTGGTTCTCAGGAGTCACACTGGCATTTTTTCCAGACTTCAGCACTCTTTGGGTACAGGCGGAGATCACCTTTCTAAATCAGTTACTAAAGGAAGGACCTGAGAGTGTCGTTTGCCACTTCATCTTACTTTTCTCATATAGACTCTTTTTTTTTTTTTTTTTTTTTGAGATGGAGTCTCGCTCTGTCACCCAGGCTGGAGTGCAGTGGCCGGATCTCAGCTCACTGCAAGCTCCGCCTCCCAGGTTCACACCATTCTCCTGCCTCAGCCTCCCGAGTAGCTGGGACTACAGGCGCCCGCCACCTCGCCCGGCTAGTTTTTTGTATTTTTTTAGTAGAGACGGGGTTTCACCATGTTAACCAGGATGGTCTCGATCTCCTGACCTCGTGATCCGCCCGTCTCGGCCTCCCAAAGTGCTGGGATTACAGGCTTGAGCCACCGCGCCCGGCCTATCATATAGACTCTTAATGTGAAGTGTTGTACCAAAAAACATATGATCCTTTCCCATCCCTAGGACATCCCTTCTCTCTGATTTTCTTAGGGATGAGGTTGACACACACACACCCCTTGGAGACATGTCTCTAAGACACTGTGACATGTGGGTGGCCAAACAGCCTCTGTGTGCCCATTGTCCCAGTGTTGTTACCAGTAGTGCCCTTTCCACTCACCAGCGCCCAGCTGTGTGATCCTGGCAATCTGACGTTACCCCCATGGTGGTGATACAGTGAGACCTCCCATTTCCATTGTTCTGCCAGCTTCAAGTCAGCAGCCCAGCTAGGGTGTGCACTGGGGTTAGTTCACAGCTGTTAGGTTCACAGAAGGGGGTCTCTGCCAGTGCCTCTCAGGCGGCTCTTCCCAAGTGAAGCTATACAGTACCTTACCTCACCTATTTGTCAGGTAACTCATTACACAGAGTGAAAACTACAGCTACAATATCTTTATCATAGTTAATACAGAATTAACTACCTGAATTTGTCAGTTCATTCCATTTCAAGGTTTATTGAAATAATAACTATATTTTCTGTTTGAAATGTTGCCGGCCGGGCGCAGTGGCTCAAGCCTGTAATCCCAGCACTTTGGGAGGCCGAGATGGGCGGATCACGAGGTCAGGAGATCGAGACCATCCTGACTAAGGCAGTGAAACCCTGTCTCTACTAAAAAAACACAAAAAACTAGCCGGGCGAGGTGGCGGGCGCCTGTAGTCCCAGCTACTTGGGAGGCTGAGGCAGGAGAATGGCGTAAACCTGGGAAGCGGAGCTTGCAGTGAGCTGAGATCCGGCCACTGCACTCCAGCCTGGGTGACAGAGCGAGACTCTGTCTCAAAAAACAAACAAAAAAGAAATGTTGCTATCCTCTTAGATTAGTAATCCCCACACATTATTATTATTTAATTTTTATCACATAGTTTTGGAAATGTATATTAATCAAATAACCGTATTCATGTTGCTATTGTGTGTGAAACATTGTATGCTGGTAGTTTCTTTGAATGGGGTAACCTTCTTGTTGTATAAATGACACTCATTAAAAATTCACTTGGGGCTGAGCCAGGTGGCTCACACCTGTAATCCTAACACTTTAGGAGGCTGAGGTGGGTGGATCCCGAGGTCAGGAGTTTGGGACCAGCCTGGCCAACATGGCAAAACCCCGTCTCTATTAAAAATACAAAAATTCAGGCCAGGCATGGTGGCTCACACCTGTAATCCCAGCACTTTGGGAGGCCGAGATGGGTGGATCACGAGGTCAGGAGTTCAAGACCAGCCTGGCCAACATGGTGAAACCCCGTCTCTACTAAAAATACAAAAAATTTAGCCAGGTGTTGTGGCGGGCGACTGTAATTCCAGCTCCTTGGGAGGCTGAGGCAGAGAATTGCTTGAATCCAGGAGGCAGAGGTTACAGTGAGCTGAGATCGCACCACTGCATTCCAGCCTGGACAACAGAGCAAAACTCCGTTTAAAAAAAAAAAAAAAAAAATAGCCAGGCGTAGTGGCAGGCATCTGTAATCCCAGCTACTCAGGAGGCTGAGGGAGAAGAATCACTTGAACCCAGGAGGCAGAGGCTACAGTGAGCCAAGATCACACTACTGCACTCCAGTCTGGGTGACAGAACAAGACTCTGTCTCAAAAAAGTTCTCTTGGGTACAAGCTGACAGTGGTAGGAAGTAGAAACGATTTTGCATTCACTTAAAATAGATCATTTCACCCTACCTCCAAACAATGTTTAATGCCTGCCTTGGTAACATGTCCAATTCTGTCCCTGTACAGATACCGAGTGGCAATCTGGGTATGTTTGGCAATAGTGGAGCAGCACAAGCCAGGACCATGCAGCAGCCGCCACAGCCACCAGTGCAGCCTCTTAACTCTTCCCAGCCCAGTCTCCGTGCTCAAGTGCCTCAGTTTCTATCCCCTCAGGTCAGACCCACATCCAAGCAGGACTAAGCAACAGGATGTAGATGCCGGTTTTTCGTGGGGTCCTGTGTTATCTGGAAGTCACTATTTTAAAGTGAGAGCTGAGTTAATCCATGTTTAAGAGAAAGCCTTCTGGTTTTTAACCTATAAATTAATTTTAGACTATAAAGTAGTAAACTGATTCTCCTGACCCAGGAGACATTTTCAGAGCTTGCTCCTTGGAATGCCTCAGCCACCCAAACTAACATTTGGCATCTTCCTAGTCAGAAGCAATATTGAGGGGAAAGGACCTGCCCAGCACAATCCTATTGATGTGCTTTTGTCCCAGTCTTTCTCGAGAAAATTATTCAGATGAACCCAGTGAACTGTCCTAGTTTGGTGGGAGAGGAAAGTGACATGCTGTAGTATTGCTGAGGATGTAAAAGAAACCCTTAGAAGCAGCCAAGGACTGAATCATGCTTTAATGAGAAACTAAATGTGATCTTATATAATAGTATGTATATTATAGATTTTCAGTTATGTTTAATATTCAGCATTAGATCATTTTTGCCAATAGAGATGGGGTTTTTTTTCTTTCTTTCATACCTTTTTAGAAGTGAACCATAGAGATTGTTAAGAGAAAAAGGTTGCCGGGCGCTGTGGCTCACGCTTGTAATCCCAGAACTTTGGGAGGCTGAGGCGGGTGGATCACCTGAGGTCAGGAGTTCAAGACCAGCCTGGCCAACCTGGTGAAACCCCGTGTCTACTAAAAATACAAAATTAGCCAGGTGTGGTGGCGCATGCCTGTGATCCCAGCTACTTGGGAGGCTGAGGCAGGAGAATCGCTTGACCCCGGGAGGTGGAGATTGCAGTGAGCCAAGATCACGCCATTGCACTCCAGCCTGGGCAACAAGAGCAGAAACTCCTTCTCAAAAAAAGAAAGGAAAAAAGGTCAAATCGAATTAAGGAAAAGGATATTGCTGTTTTACATGGCTCTGAGGCCTAATATATATCAATTGTTGTTGTTAATATTGTTTATTTTTAGCACATTTTACAATTTTAGGCTTTGGACCAAGTTTCTAATTACAGTGTTAGTTCTTACCCCTTATAAGGTATTTGATGATCGATGGTATTGATAACATCTTTGCTGTGTGGGTAACTCAGGGCTCTGGTAATTCTTCCCACGTAATTCTGATGTGAAGGTTGACTGGAGCCTGCCCTGAGAGAGCAGCAGCATCTTGAAGTACTTAGCACATTCTCGCATTCTTGTAGCAGAGAGGGAAAAAACTGCTTTCTTCCCCAAGAGACCTCTAATATCAAGAAGATAGTTAAGATTTCTGAGGGATCTTATTTTCAAACTGTCCCAAAAGAGAATGTGTTAATTCGTCAATCTTCTATTATTCATAAAATTTAATTTAAATGTGTTCAGTTTGTTGGAATATAGTGTCTTAGTCCGTTTGGGCTGCTGTAACAAAATACCTTAGACTGGGTCATTTACAACAGCATGAATGTATTGCTTGCAGTTCTGGAGACTGAGAAGTCCAAGGTCAAGGTGCCAGACGATTCAGTGTCTGGTGAGGGCCCGTTTCTCAGAGATGGCATCCTCATGTGGTGGAAGGGGTGAGCGGGCTTTCTCAGGCCTCTGTCATTAGGATGCTAATTCCATTCATGGGGGCTCCTGATCGCCCCCCAAAGGCCCCAGCTCTTAATACCACCACAATTAGGGTTTAGGTTTCAACATAGGAATTCTGGGGGAGGGGGACACAGACATTCAGACAATAGCATATGGGAAGGCAATGCTAGCATACGAAAAAGAGCAGGATGCACTAGGCACTGCACTGAGGGTAATTCTCTATAATTGTTCAAATCCAGGTTTGTGCGCTGAGTTGATAGTGGACAATTATCAGTGTAACTAATACATTTAACTATTATCAGGTAATAAGATAAAAGTTATTAGATAATAGTTAAATGTATTTGTTAGGATGTAGGATAAGCTACTATAACAAAGAGGCCTCAAAAAACAGTAGTTTAAACTAGGTAGACATTGATCTCTCTCAGGTTACAGTGCAGAAAGAAGCAGTGCAGGGATTGGGGGCAGCTCTGCCACAACCACTTCCCAGTAACAGGGAAAAAGGCAGCACTCTTGTGCAGGTGGCCTTGAAGTTGCACACACCACTTCCAGTCACATCCCATTGCCCAAACCTAGGCCACAGCTGCACCCAGTCTGAGAGGCAGTAGCAGAAGAATCAGTTAGTCTTACCCACACAAAGCAAACCAGCATGTCCCAAATGGCAAGGCATCTGTGTGCCATCTCACTGTTTCTTCCATATTTCCATGTTACCTGTAAGTACTGATAGGAAGGACACAGAACCTTGGAAAGTTCATTTATAATTAAAGTATTTGGAGGATGAGATCTCTGAAGACTTCCCTTCTTCCTTCCCTCCTTTCTTTTTCCTTTCTTTCTTATTCTTTACTTGCTAACTACTAATATTAAAATGTCCATACATTTTTTAATGGCCTTTGACATTTCACCCATGAGACAAATATAATTATTATTGCAAGATCTGGCCGGCAGCCCGCAATGCAGCAGGGCTCTTTCTTTGTTCCCAGGCAGATTGGCAGGTCGAGAAGTAAAAGACACACACGAGATAGTGAAAGCTGGGTTCAGCATGTCACCGCCTTCTGGTCCTGCGATGCCGCCAATGCACTGGATATACCAGCATTTATTATTAAGTTTAGTGAGGGCAGAGTAGGTTAGTGAGGGATATAGGGTCGTTTGATTATGAGGTGAGATGATCACATGGGATGAAGTAATTCTTTAACATAATATCAGTATGCAGAAGTAGAGTATACAGAGATAAGAATTTACAATGTAGTGTGTGCATCAGCAATTTCTAACAGAGCCTTAAAACAGAAACACAGTCTGTCCATAACCTATGTTTAGTAAGATACTAATCAGTAGTAATAATTGCAGCAAAAGCTTGTTGCAAACAATCAATAGAAACAGGGCATGAAACTGTACAACTGGTTAGACCACAGATTCTTAGAAGGGAGTATGCCTTAACCCTGAAGAGACCTAGAAGAGCCATGGCAAGCAAGATAAGGGCATTTATAACCCTATCTTATCCATATGAACAAGCATCCCTCATGCGTCCGTTTATAGGCTCTCCACAAGGGTTGTATTCCATTCCCAGAGCTATGAACATCTGCTTTTCTGGGATAGGAGTCTTGGTGATGTGAAACCTCCCTGACTGCGCGTCCGTTGATAGGCTCTCTGCAGTGGGAAGCACATCACGCGCTGTTGGCTCATTCTGGCAGCCCAACCTTGCGTTGTCTTTATGCAGTCCTGCATGCAATTTTGTATTTACAATAATCAGGGGCATTTATTTTTTTTTCCGTAGCAGTAGTTTCCGGGGATCTCCCTACAAATTATCACTTAATCATTTTTGCATTTTGAAAAACGACATGGGCAAGTAGCTACTTTGACAGAGATACAATGGCTGACCGCGTATTTTTTGTTGAACAGGTTCAAGCACAGCTTTTGCAGTTTGCAGCAAAAAACATTGGCCTCAACCCTGCACTATTAACCTCGCCAGTTAATCCTCAGCATATGACGATGTTGAACCAGCTCTATCAGCTGCAGCTGGTGAGTGGACAGACCCAGGCGAGTTAGAGCACGCAGGCCAAGTGCTCTCCTGGTGCCCATGCAGATGCACCAGTGTGGCGCACCACTGAGAGCAGCAGTTGTGATGACGTTTGTCTTCACATCGGGGATGTCATTGAGACTGTCTTAAAATATTTAAACTCTTCATGAGTTAGGAAGTTCTCACTCAAAGGTGTCCTTACTAAGTTTTGTAAATGTTTTGGCCTCTTTGTTTTTGTTTTTGTTTTTGTTTAGAGGCAGCATCTCACTATGTTGCCAGGCTGGTCTGGAACTCCTGGACTCAAGGGATCCTCCCACCTCAGCCTTCTGAGTAGCTGAGACTACGGGTGTGCACCACTGCACATGGCTTGGCCTCTTTGTGTTCAAAAAATCTACCAGCTTTTATAATTAGGCATGTCTTTTCACTTGAGCTCTCAGCCAGAGTTTCTGAGAAGCACAGAACACAAAAAATCATTTGAGTGACTATTTTCTCAATAATTCTAAGGATGGTATACATAAATACTATTCTAGAAGCACAGGAGAAAAATTGCTTTGTTACATATAGTAGATACCTTAGAACATTAGAACTTAATTCTCTCATGAAACCCCGGTCAAGAATGGCTGATGTGACCTAATAATTCTTGAAAGTTTTTTTTTTGTTTTTGTTTTTGTTTTTTTTGAGATGGAGTCTTGCTTTGTCGCCCAGGCTGGAGTGCAGTGGTGTAATCTCGGCTCACTGCAAGCTCCGCCTCCCGGGTTCACGCCATTCTCCTGCCTCAGCCTCCTGAGTAGCTGGGACTACAGGCACCCGCCACCGCGCCCAGCTAACTTTTTGTATTTTTAGTAGAGACGGGGTTTCACCGTGGTCTCGATCTCCTGACCTTGTGATTCACCCGCCTCGGCCTCCCAAAGTGCTGGGATTACAGGCGTGAGCCACCATGTCTGGCCTGAAAGTTTTATAACTACATAATCTTGATTTTTTTTTAATTTTCTAACAGTCTTACTGATTTTACCATAAATTGCCATGTCATTGTATACCTAGATGCCTACTGAAATTATATACACTAAAAGACCCAGTGAATTATTTCATTCTTTAATGTGGGTACCTGATTTATTTAGCAGTCTTAGCCAGCAACTTCATCACCTAGCAAACGACTAGGAATCGGCCAAGCACAGTGGCTCGTGCCTGTAATCCGAGCATTTTGGGAGGCCCAGGCAGGTGAATCACCTGAGGTCAGGAGTTTGAGATTAGCCTGGCCAACATGGTGAAACCCTGTCTCTACTAAAAATGCAAAAATTAACTGGGCATGGTGGTACACATCTGTAATCCCAGCTACTTGGGAGGCTGAGGCAGGAGAATCGCTTAAACCTGAAAGGCGGAAGTTGCAGTGAGCCTCGCACCATTGCACTGCAGCCTGGGTGACAGAGCAAGACTCCATCTCAAAAAAAAAAAAAAAAATGACCAGGAATCATGAAGGAAAAAAATTTTAAAAAAAAGAATGGGACTCCAAAAGACAAAACCATTGGCATAAGATCTTTGCTAATAAGAGAGTACTTGAGTCCTCCTCAGTCCTTCCCCTTTGCCGTTTTTTAGACATATGTCCAACAAGTTTGAGGTCTGGCTTTTCTGTAAGCAGCAGGGGAGGATAGAAGGAAGGAGGGAAGGATGTGTCCCAGAGGCATATGCTATGTATGTGTCCTCACTTTAAGGGAGAGCACAGAGCTCTAGACATGAGGTCAGGACCAAGGCTTGGCCCTCAGAAACTGTTTTTTCTTTTTCTTTTTTTTTTTGAGACGGAGTCTTGCTAGTCTTGCTCTGTCGCCCAGGCTAGAGTGCAGTAGTGCAATCATGGCTCACTGCAGCCTCCACCTTATGGGTTCAAGTAATTCTTCTGTCTCAGCCTCCCGAGTAGCTTGGATTACAGGCGCCCGCCACCACACCTGGCTAATATTTGTATTTTTAGTAGAGACGGGGTTTCACCATGTTAGTCAGGCTGGTCTCGAACTCCTAATCTCAGGTGATCCTCCCGCCTCAGTCTCCCAAAGTGGTGGGATTACAGGCGTGAGCCACTGCGCCCAGCCAGAGACTGTTTTTCCATCTATCAGAAGGGAAGAATCGCTGTGGGGAGGCAGTACACATGTGCAGTCCTGTTGCTTTCAGTCCTGCCAGCTGGAGACCACTGACCTCCAAAGGAAAGGAGACAGCTCTGAAAACAGGCACTCATAGAAAAAGCATGCAGGTTTAGAACTGTTACTATAGAGGAAGATTGCTTTCTGCCGCTTGATGACGCAGGCATTGTTGTATTCTGACACAGAGCTGATTTTCTTACTGATGTGCTAGAATCTTTTAGTTATACAGTAAGTTTTTATTGACTCCATGGTGTGAAAGACGTCAAGAAAATGTTGAATTACAATAGTGTGTTCTTATTTTAAAACAATGTATTCTGTTCTTAAATATTTTTCCAGAAAAAATGGAAAAATAAAGTTTCAGTGCTTCCATAAGGTTAAGTTTTAGGGCCTATGAAGATTTACTCAAGTATTTTATTCCTCCATGATTACAGATTAATGAGGCATTTCTAATAGTACAATCTCCACCTTTATTTGGATTCTACTTTAATGAGTCCTTTTGCCAAAAATGTCCCTAAAATTCATGTTGTAAGAAAAAATTATGATATTCAACCAACATTTCAAAACAGTCAAGTGACCAAAGCTTCTATGTCAGTGTACAGAAGAATATCATAACTTTAACCAACTTTGTAGATGACAAGTTCATGTGACAAAAATGCCCACAAATCTGCATTTCAGGTTCTCTCTTAGCTTTCATTCCCATGATGTTATGGAGATGACCACGTTGTTTAACACACATTATTCTTGAATGATTTGGGACAGTTACTCCCAGTGCTTTGCCACATTGTCTAGGCTGTGCTGGACTTCAGTATCCATCATTATAGAATAGGTGGTGGTGGTGGTGGTGGTTGTTGTTGTTTAAGTTTCAGTTTGTATGAATCAAGCAAAAGAATTTTGGTCTCTTCATTAAATGAAAAATATTTGCTGACCAACATCATCACCAACACTAAACGGGTATTGACTCTGTGATTTTTTTTAATTCTGTACACTAAAAAAGTGGATAAGACATTAATCTTTTAAAAGTGCTCTGTGCCTCCAGAATATGTGTCAGCCACAGCTGGGTGCGTTGGCTCATGCCTGTAATCCCAGCACTTTGGGAGGCTGAGGCGGGCAGATCATGAGGTCAGTAGTTTGAGACCAGCCTGGCCAACATAATGAAACCCCGTCTCTACTAAAAATACAAAAATTAGCTGGGCAATGTGGCACGTGACTGTAATCCCAGCTACTTGGGAGGCTGAGGCAGGAGAATTTCTTGAACCCGGGAGGCAGAGGTGGCAGTGAGCTGAGATTGCGCCATTGCACTCCAGCCTAGGTGACAGAGCGAGACTCCATCTGAAAAAAAAAAAAGAGTATGTGTCAGCCACAGTACGGGCCAAGAAGAGTGGCTAGGTTCTCTTTTTTTGTTTTTTAACTAATGTCAGAAAGTTGAACCATTAGTTCAACTTATACTTAATTATTATACTATTTTAACTCTTCTTTCTGTCAACAGGCATACCAACGTTTACAAATCCAGCAGCAGATGTTACAGGCCCAGCGTAATGTGTCCGGATCCATGAGACAACAGGAGCAGCAAGTAGGTGCTACCCAGATTGACTTTTGTCATGAGCTATAATTTTCCCTAATAGAAGAGATGCTAATTGATGAACTATTAGATGATCTTTGATTTTTCTCTAGCCAAGCCTTCCTTGGAAAATTCCTGGGTTCAGCTAGGTTTGGGAGGAGGTTGACCTAGCCAGTGGTGGCCTCAGCATAAAGACAATGAAGAATTCACCTGGTCCCTAGACAAGCCATGAGTGTCCCTTCCCACCTGGTTAACGAACCTATGTCTGTGCCTGCCAGGTTGCGCGCACAATCACTAATCTGCAGCAGCAGATCCAGCAGCACCAGCGCCAGCTGGCCCAGGCCCTGCTTGTGAAGCAGCCACCACCGCCACCGCCCCCGCCGCACCTGTCTCTGCACCCCTCTGCAGGCAAATCGGCCATGGACAGCTTCCCCTCGCACCCACAGACTCCCGGCCTACCTGACCTGCAGACCAAAGAGCAGCAGTCTTCACCCAACACCTTTGCTCCTTACCCTCTTGGTGAGTGTCCCATGGTCTTCAACAGCCACATCAGGTAGAGAGGGTACCTGGAGTCCATATGTGGTAGCCAGGGCAGCATTTCAGTGGTTAGGAGGACTGGCCAGCGCTGAAACCATAGCCTGTTGTAAATGCAGCCCCAGACAAAATCACAGAACAGGTGTCTCAAGGCTTTTTAACTTTAAAAAAAGTTTTTTATTATTTTTTGGAGAAATGGGGTCTCACCACGTTGCCCAGGCTGGTCTCGAACTCCTGGGCTCAAGCAATTCTCCCACCTCAGCCTCTTAAAGTGCTGGGTTTACAGATGTGAGCCACCATGCCCAGCCTCAAGAATTTTTAATCAGGGAACAACACTAACCATGTTCTATAGAGCAGGAGTTTTGCTGCTGCCATAATACTCTCAGTATAAAACCTTTAAAGGTGGTACCAGTCAGAGCCTCCAAAATCTCATTTCCATTGTCACATCTCCAGAGTTTGTTCTATTCCTAGTCTACTCTGAACTGTATTTTACCAGCCACTTCCTCCAGCCTAAACCGCAGAGAAGACTTTATAATGGTTTGGTCAGTAAAAGTATTCAGATTTACACTAAAAGCACTTCTTAAAAAGCAGTGGTTGTTGATACAACTCATTTTGTATGAAATGTGATTTGTATAATCAACGAAATCAACATATATATGTTGAAATCTAACTTGTAGAAGCACATAGGGCACATGAAACCTGCAGGTCACTATAAGACATGGTGCCAGGCCTCAAGGTCAGGCCTGCCAGGAGAATCACAGCTCACATAGCTGAAGACACCAGAGGGTATAAATGAGTAAATTGATTCTGCATGGACTAATTTGCTGTAAGAATTCAGAACTTAGTGAAAGCACTTTAGGCTTGTCTGTTGATTGCTATTAGAGTCTGTAGATGCAGGACAAAGGGTATCAGTAACTTGGAAAATACATCTGTAAAGGGCCAAAGGCCAGTTGAGTGGTAGTGAATTTGCTACCAGCAGATAATATTCATTTATCTAATTCTATTCAATGTCTCTCAAAAGGGCGGTGTATTGTAATCATTTGAACACTTTTTACTTGACGTATTATAAATGTGATATATCTTTAATATGAGATTGATAAATACTAGACTAGATGATCTCGTTCCTTAATTATTGTCTCATCCATTAACACCCTTTGTGTCTGAGTAGTTAAGACCTGACTTAGGAGTTAGATTGCCTAGGTTTGAGTCCCAACTCACCACCAACAGGCTCACTACTAACTTGGGCAACTTGCCTAGCTGCTTTTTGCCTCAATTTCTTTCTTTCTTTTTTTTTTTTTTCTCGTTAGAGACGGGGTCTTTCTGTGTTGCCCAGGCAAGTCTCAAACTCCTGGCCTCAAGTGATCCTCCCTAAGTGTTAGGATTACAGGCCTGAGACACCATACCCAGCCATACCTTAATTTCTTCATCTGTAATGTGGAAATACTTAACTCCTAGGTTTGTTTTAAAGATTAAATAAGCTAATATGTAAAGTTATTTCTCTTTTTTTTTTTTTTTTTTTGGAGATGGTGTCTCACTCTGTTGCCCAGGCTGGAGTGCAGTGGCGCGATCTCGGCGCACCCAGCTAATTTTTTGTATTTTTAGTAGAGACGAGGCTTCACCGTATTAGCCAGGATGGTCTCGATCTCCTGACCTTGTGATCCACCTGCCTTGGCCTCCTAAAGTGCTGGGATTACATGCATGAGCCACCGCTCCTGGCCTCTTTTTTTTTTTTGGCTGGAGTGCAGTGGCATGATGATAGCTCATTGCAGCCTCAAACTCCTGGCCTCAAGTGATCCTCCTGGTCTCAGCTTCCCAAAGTGCTGTGATTACAGACATGAGCCATCACACCCGGCCTAATACGTAAAGTCTTTAAATAGTGCCTAGCACATGGCAAACACTTTGTAAAATATCAGCTACTTATGTAAGTGCTTCTGTTTTAGAAACAAATTTCATTCCACCTATTATCCTAAAATGCGTTAGCTTCAGCTTTCTAGTATTCACCTGTCTTCTTAACCTGTATTTGGAAGATAAAGTACACTTATCATGACTTTTTTTTTATTTTTTATTTATTTATTTATTTATTTTTGAGATGGAGTCTTGCTCTGTTGCCCAGGCTGCAGTGCAGTGGCGCAATCTCGGCTCACTGCAACCTCCACCTTCTGGATTCAAGCGATTCTCCTGCCTCAGCCTTCCAAGTTGATGGGATTACAGGCATGCATCACCACGTCTGGCTAATTTTTGTATTTTTAGTAGAGACTGAGTTTCACTATGTTGGCCAGGCTGGTCTCGAACTCCTGACCTCAGGTGATCCACCCACCTCGGCCTCCCAAAGTGCTGGGACTACAGGCATGAGCCACCGCGCCCGGCCACTTATCTTTACTCTTAAGGATTTTTGTTCTTAGTACGAGTTAAAGAATTCATGCAGTGAATCTTTGAAATTAGTTGAAAAATAATTTGGATAATATTTTATAATATTCACAGTGAAGTTATAAATGTATTAAAAACAAATAACTAGTAAAGTATAGGAAACTTTGGTTGTAAAATTGCCTATCTTGCTGGCTCTCAGCATTTCTCTGCAGCAGCACCTATGTTGAAGAGCCTATTAGAAACTCAACAATTCATGTAAAGAAACCAGCAGCCCATGGTCAGTAGTGGGGGCTCCCAGCTACCTTCCTTCCCTCACATTCAGCCTGTCCTTGTTATTCTCAGTCTTTTGCCACCTGGAGTTCGTCATTTAGATAGGAAGAGCAGGCATATAAACAGGAAAAAATAACCTTGATACCAGTGTCATGTGATTCTCACAGGGCTCTAGAGAAGGAAAAGTTCACTTTCACTTTGAGTGGTGAAAGAAAAATCAGAGAATAGTATTAAGCTTGAACCTCAAATGATTAGATAGGATTGCAGTAAATAAAGAGGAAGCCTTTCCAAATGAAGGGGAAGCCTCACATAGCACAGAAGAAAGAGGCCTGGCCTGTTTCAGGGGCCCATTTTGCAAGGGCCAGGCCAGTCTAGCTGACTTTCCCAGAGGGGAAAGTTGGGAGAGATGGGTTGGGGCCAAATTGTGGAATTCGGAGCATTCTGAAGGCCAGGTTGAAGCCCTGACATTGTTGCCACCTTACCTGACTATATCTGTACAAGCTGAAACGAAGAGAACTCAGAGATTGCAAGTAGGCAGCCCCGTGGCACTGATGGGCTTGCAAAGGCGTTTTGTTAAGTCTGCGAAGCGTGTATGTGCATGTGCCAACATTCAAAAATTGGGGAAAGTGGCCTCTGGCTTCTCTTAAAAATGGCTTTAGTGGGTCTATGTTCCATGTAGCAATAAGTGGTTGGCCCCAGTAGCACCTGTTTATTTAGACAGGACAGACACTCTCTGGTTTGCCACAGTCCCCATGAGGCCCACCTCTTCATGTGCATGGCCACTTGGCTCCTATGGGCATTTGAATTTGCAGCCTCTGAAATAAAGGTAAGAACCAGAATGTTCAGCACCTGGCTTAGTAGTAGAGGCTCACTGTGCTTACGTACCATGTGGCATAGTTGTACATATGGTAAGGATCTGTGGAGTATGTGTATGTGGTAATGGGAACTGCAGCTGGAAACCAAGGGAAGGGGGACCCCTCTGCTCGTTATTCCCTTCCAAACAAGCAGTCTGTCCTGCTCCAAACTGGTGTCCTCATCAGAAAGTCTTTACTTCAACCTTTTCATCATTGTCCTCCTTCCTCATCGTCTTTCTTTATTAACCTAGCTTAGTACAGGTCCTGGACAGATAACCAGCTACCTGCTTTTCACTATAAGAAATGAGCTCAGAAGCCTCAGCTCACCATCCCAGCTGGGGGCAGATGGCAGCACCCCATCTGTCAAATAGTTCAGTTCCTTAAAAGTAGTTTGATTTTAATTCACAAACTCTTTCAGAGCAGACTTTTGTAAAGGAAACTCACTGAAAGTAGAACTGAATTATCCTATCAGTCTGTTTCATAGGTGGTACTTTAGAGTTCTGGAAAAGTGTTTTTGTCCCAATGAGTTTCCATAAGATATCCCAAAACCAGAAAAGATTTTCCTAATACTTTGGACTTTTTCTGTTTTCCTGTGGACTCTGAGAAGCCTCAGGACCGTGTTTATCCAGCACTGAAACAAGTAAAGTGAAGAGAGTCGTGGGCCTCACTTAATCAAAGGCGATTCACATTTTCACCTTAATTTAGGAGTAATATTCCGAGAAGTACATGCTGTTATGAAGATAAAAAGTATTTTTCACCAGCACTAAAAGTTACAGTTAAAATATTTTGTTGTATCCCAGCTACTTGGGAGGCTGAGGCAGGAGAATCGCTTAAACCCAGGAAGCGGAGGTTGCAGTGAGCCAAGATCATGCCATTGCACTCTAGCCCGGGCAACAAGAGCAAGACTCCATCTCAAAAAACAAAAAAAATTTTGCTGTAAGCGAAGACTGAAATAGCTTCTGTAGGAGAGCTTTAGAATGAAGTCTTTTATGTAATCCCAGCACTTTGGGAGGCCGAGGCGGGCGGATCACAAGGTCAGGAGATCAAGACCACGGTGAAACCCCGTCTCTATTAAAAAATACAAAAAATTAGCCGGGCGTGGTGGCGGGCGCCTGTAGTCCCAGCTACTCAGGAGGCTGAGGCAGGAGAATGGCGTGAACCCGGGAGGTGGAGCTTGCAGTGAGCCGAGATCGCGCCACTGCACCCCAGCCTGGGCGACAGAGCGAGACTCCATCTCAAAAAAAAAAAAAAAAAAAAGAATGAAGTCTTTTAGAGGAGCAGGTGAATCCTAATCGGCATCTCTCTCTTTAGCTGGACTGAACCCAAACATGAATGTCAACAGCATGGACATGACCAGTGGCTTGTCGGTGAAGGACCCATCCCAGTCCCAGTCACGCCTCCCCCAGTGGACGCACCCCAACTCCATGGATAACTTGCCCAGTGCCGCTTCCCCCCTGGAGCAGAACCCTAGCAAGCATGGTACGTCTGGGCTAGGATGCCCGTGGTGGGATCACTGCTGGCTTATTAATCGATCTTCCTGTTGTATAACATGCCCATTCTATACTTTTCTAAGAATTGAGCGCTGAAAGTTGGATTTAAAATAACCCATTCCATTATAGTGCATATAAGATCTCAGCTAGTCAGTGATCAAACTTCTTAAAAGCCAGCCATTAGATCTTAGCTACAAACCTAGAAATAATTTGAAAAGAATCTAGGTCATAGCCTATGTACTTTTTTTTTTTGTATCTCTATTCATCAACAAAAACTTGAGTCTGCTGAAATATTTTCAATAAAATAGTAAAACACAAATAGAAAATCAAATATGCAGTATGTATGGGAACCGCAGCTGTAAATACCAGGGTGCATTTCTGTTGGTTATTCCCCTCCATCCAAGCAGTCTGTCTTACTCCAAACTGGTGTCCCCATCAGGAACTCGTTACCGATGGACACACCAGTAAGGTGGAAGCAAAAATGATACCCGTAGGAGGTACTTTCAAGCATTAAATTTAGTTCTGAACTTGCTGGTAGAATAAACAGCAAAGGAAATTCAATAGGTTACGAAGTTCTCTCGATACAAAGCATTCTAAAAAGAAAAAGGAAACTATGTCTCATGGTTAACTTACGGAAAATCATCACACACTGCTGGCACCTTTCTTAGCAGGAGGGCCTTGCTGCCTGTGGCTGGTTGGTTTGGTTCTGTATGAATTTTTAACATCCACTGTGTTCTTCCATAGTGAGGGTTTCAGACTAAAAGGAGGGAAGAGGTAAGAGCAAATTTGATAACTAATCACGAAGACTCATAAGTTGTCCCCAAAAAGGTTTATTAAGGGCAGCTTCCCATGGTATGGATATGTATTTTATAAAGATTTCTAACTGGACAAACTAAAATTGTTCTTCAGGGGTTTTGGTCTTTCAGGGCTGAAATTGGAGCTGGCTTAAATAGTCACTGGCCAGGCATGGTGGCTCACACCTGTAGTCCCAGCTACTTGGGAGGCCAAGGTGGGATGATCACTTGAGCCCAGGAGTTTGAGGCTGCAGTGAGCCCTAATCACATCACTACACTCCAGCCTGGGCAACAGAGTGAGACATTGTCTCAGAAAAAAAAAAAAAAAAACAGTCATTGATTCTTACAGAATCCTAGACAGACCAAGTCTTACAATTCATGTAACCGAATAGAGCAAGGCATTGGACCTAGAACAGAAGGTGCATAGGGAGGCTTAGGGTATCTTCTGCTGTCTCTCAACTGGAGGGTATTCACTCGCTTCTTTGTTTCCTGTTGTCCCCATAGGTGCTATCCCTGGAGGTCTAAGCATTGGGCCTCCAGGTAAGTCCTCCATTGATGACTCCTATGGCCGGTACGATTTAATCCAGAACAGTGAGTCACCAGCCAGTCCTCCCGTAGCTGTTCCCCATAGCTGGTCACGTGCCAAATCTGACAGTGATAAAATCTCAAATGGCTCTAGCATCAACTGGCCCCCAGGTAAGACCGTTCAACACTTCCGTGCAACAGCAGCAGGTCAGAACGTGCTCCAAGCCTGCAGAGAGTGATGAGGCTGGGAGGACCCAGAATCTGAGCTAAGGATCTGGAAGCGTTAAGCCCAGAGCTTTGGCATTTTCCTTGGAAATCCATTTGTCAGATCAATTTTGGGTATGGTTAGCATCAGGCATTTTTCTGTAATCCCTTAATTCAACATGAGAAGTGGAAGGGGTGGCAGGGAGGAAGCACACTGTATACCATCTGGTAAAACTATTCCGACTCTATGTGAAAACTATCTTAATGTGATAGCTAGAATACCTGGTTCTAGTTTCTCCAAAGGATTGATTGTTTTAATGAAAGAGAGTATAAAGAGTATAAAGTGTACCTCTCATTTAATTAGCAGATTATAAAAATTTCTACAAACAGGACAAAACATCTTTTAAAATGTCATGAATCAATGTGCAGATGTTCTGATCTGTGGCTTCTCATTTGGGTTTCTTAAACAGAATTCCATCCGGGAGTTCCATGGAAAGGACTACAGAATATTGACCCTGAGAATGACCCTGACGTCACTCCTGGCAGTGTCCCCACTGGGCCTACCATCAATACCACCATCCAGGATGTCAACCGCTACCTCCTCAAGAGTGGAGGTGAGGGTGCTGCTCTACCTGCCTCTGCGCAGACGGTCTCTCTAGACCCATTTGGAGATGTCAGGGGTGACAGGTTGGGCTCTGAGGCAGGGATGATACAAGGCACAGTTGAAGCAGTCATCTGAAGCAGCATGAAGAGACGTCAGTTAGTGCTTATGGGAAAATGGACATCAATTTGAGTTTCTGCTGGAATTTTTTTTTTTTTTTTGAGATGAAGTCTCACTCTGTCGCCCAGGCTGGAGTGCAGTGGCACGATCTCAGCTCTCTGCAACCTCCACCTCCTGAGTTCAAGCGACTCTCCTGCCTCAGCCTCCCAAGTAGCTGGAATTACAGGCATGTGCCACCATACCAGGCTGATTTTTGTATTTTTAGTAGAGACAGGGTTTCACCATGTTGGCCAGGCTGGTCTCGAACTCCTGACCTCAGGTGTCACCCATGCTGCTGGATTTATTGATAAGTAATGTCTTATCATAAAAGTGCCATCTCTGACAAATTTTTATCACAGCATGCTATTTTGTGGAAGAAAGAGCTAGATTGCCATAGGTACTACCACTAATAAGGCCACCTAGGTAGTTCCCAAAACATTAAGTTTCCCACTTGAAATATGACTCATTGGAGCCTTGTGTTTTGTGTTTGCTTCTTTTCTTTCTTTCTTTCTTTTTTTTTTTTTTTTTGAGACAGATTCTTGCTCGTTTGCCGAGGCTGGAGTATAGTGGCATGATCTTGGCTCACTGCAACCTCTGCCCGCCTCCCAGGCTCAAGTGATTCTCATGCCTCAGCCTCCCGAGTAGCTGGGACTACAGGTGTGCACCACCACACCCAGCTAATTTTTTCTATTTTTAGTAGAGACGGTGTTTCACCATGTTGGCTAGGCTGATCTCGAACTCCTGACCTCAAGTGATCCACCTGACTCGGCCTCCCAAAAGTACTGGGATTACAGGCGTGAGCCAGTGTACCTGACTGCTTCTGTGGTTCTTTAAAGTGATAGGCTTCTAAATGTATCTGTGGTTTGACTGGAAAGCCAACATGAGTACAGATTGCCCTGTCTGTTTAATGCTGTGTATTCTTTGGGGTTACACAGCTGCTTTTCGGATGCAGCTGCTTTTCAGAGCAGGGGTGTTATGGGTGTCCCTGCTGTCAGACACAGTCAAGTGGTGCCCAAAAGGGAGCTGTGTGGCAGAGGACAGGTGAGGCACCAGCCAGAATCAGAGACCCAGCCCTCCCTGCTTGTCACACCTGGTGGGGCACCAGGGTTGTGCCAGACAGGAAAGTTATCATATTTTGAGGGTTGTGGAGAAGTGGGATGCAGGTTGTACAGATCCAGGTCATAAGGGAAGTTGGAAAGAATCGAAGTTGCTTAATACATGGCAGAGCTCCCTGAGTGGTGCCCAGATGAAGGATCAAGTGGCCCCTTAGCCTCCAGGCAGAACCAGGGCCACTGGGGGTGGCCTCCGCCATCGCCTGAGTGTGCCATGATGTGATGAAGATGGCCTGAGAAACACGTGGCAGCTGTTCTCCAGCTCCATAGCCTGTCCAGTTAAGGAAATCAACTTGCGGGGAGGGCAGAGGAGAACCTCAGCCTAAGAAATGCATTGGCCATTGAGATAAGGCAAGGCAGTGGCATCTCCAACCCTGAGCCTAAGAACCAGCCAGCCAGGCGACCTGGGTGACTCATAGCTCCAAGTGAACATCGTTTGACTTCCCGGATGCTTGATGTTTGGGTCTTGAGCCTGCCCTGGCACTTGTGCACAAACATCAGTATTCAGCAGCAGCCAGCTCAGGTGACTCATGCCAAGCCTCCCCTTCAGCTCATGACCAGCACTAGGAACCTTGTTCCTCCACTCTGGTACCTCTCTTGGTTGTATTTAAGGATACATTAGGGTTTGTTACTGAAAGAAAGGGGAGTACAATGAACATCTCTTCACGTAGAAGTTGCTAACCAGAAAGCACTAGCAGGCTGAGCACAGTGGCTCACACCTGTAATCCCAGCACTTTGGGAGGCCAAGGTGGGAGAATCACTTGAGGCCAGGAATTTGAAACCAGCTGGGCAATATAATGAGACCCTATCTCTACAAAAAATTTAAAATGAAAAAATTAGCTGGGTATAGTGGCACACATCAGTGGTTCCAGCCACTCAGGAGGCTGAGACAGGAGAATCACTTGAGCTTGGGATGTCAGGACTGCAGTGAGCTGTGATTGAGCCACTGCACTCTAGCCTGGGTGACACAGCAAGACTTCGTCTCAAAAAAAAAAAAAAAGAAAAGAAAAGGCCTCCCAAAGTGCTGGGATTACATTCCTGAGCCACTGCGCCCGGCCAAGCTGACACCTTTTTAAAGTAAAGGCCTTCCTGAGCAAATTAACAGAGGAACAGAAGACAGACAGCCTGAGTTTACATAACACAAAGAAGGGAGCAGCAGACAGCGGGCCTGTTGGAGGGTAGAGGGTGGGAGGAAGGGGAGGATTGAAAAACTGCCTGTCAGGTACCATGCTCACTATCTAGGTGATGGAATGATCTCTACAACACACCCCTACAACACACAGTCCACCTGTGTGACAGACCTGCACATGGACTCCCAGAACCCAAAATAAAAATTGGAAAAAATAAAAGTGAAGACCTGCAGATTACCCATAAATGCTAACTTTCCTCAACTCTGGTGCCCTCATTCTAAAGAGGTCACTTGCAGCGGGGCAGCTGCAAACAACTGTGCAGGTTGGACACTGCATGTGTCCAGGAGGTGCCACACGCCTGGTTATTCACTGCACAACGTCATGTGGGCCTACAGCTGAGATGCCATGGCTTTTCAGAAGCCATCTGATTCTGTGTGTGGTCATCAGTTTAACAGCCAGACTGTGCTTATGTTCCCTCTGCTAGCCGGGATCCATGCCCTGGCAGAGTTACTGTCCCAATGAGCGCTCTTTGCATCCTGCATTCACCCCAGCTGTCACCGGTACTCCATCCTCACTCTTCTTCTCCAGCTTCTTGCTCTCTTCACAGAATTGAAAGGGAGAGCCACATTAGAAAATACAAAATACAACCAAGCAGCGAGGAGCTGAGCTTTCACACAAGGGATCGAGGTGCCTGAAGGATGGCCCATTTACCCCAAGTCTCCCTTTCAGGCACAGGGACAAGCTTTCCTCAAAAAACTACAGTCCTAGGGATAGAATAACTCAAGTCCACATACACAGTTATTAGGACAAATGTCTCTTAATTATTCATGTATTTAAAAAGGGAATCATGAGCTGGGTGTGGTGGCACCTGTGGTCCCTGCCGCTCAGGAGGCTGAGGCAAGAGGATCACCCAGCCCAGGAGGTTGAGGCTGCTGTGCACTGTGATCACACCTGTGAACAGCCACTGTGCTGCAGCGTGGGTGACATAGCAACAGCCCCATCTCTAAAAAAAAAAAAAAAGCAAAATACGAGTTCGGAAGCTGATGGGACACCCCAGTCAGAAGAAATGTTCAAATTTTTATGGCACATTTTGTAATGAATGGCTTGGAGTTTTGTTCTTCTATTTTGTAGCCATTGTTTGAACTGTGAAAGGAGTAGATTGCCCTGGATTTTTATTTTATCTTATTTGGGAGAGGAAATCAATGTGGTGCTTTAAAACTCAACATGGCATTTTAAGCATTATGGCGGGAATTCTCAAAGAAGCTCATGCTGCTTCTTGCCCTTTGATTCCTCTGCCTTCAGCAACATCCCAGGCCTCCCTGAGTGGCTACAGGGATCCAGAGTAGGAGAGGCATGCCCTGTTTCTTCCTTCCCACACGACACTTTCATGTTCAGGCTTCTATTAAAAATGGCAGCCTAGGGAGAGGTTGATTCTTGATGGTTAAGATTCTCACACCCCGCAGTTGGAGTCACGAACCTGGACTCCGCCACCACCTTGCTCAGTGCCGTGTTTGGTTCTGCAGGGTCCTCCCCGCCATCATCTCAGAATGCCACGCTGCCTTCCTCGAGTGCCTGGCCGCTCAGTGCCTCCGGCTACAGTAGCTCTTTCAGCAGCATTGCATCCGCACCTAGCGTTGCAGGTACGCGCCTGGCCTCTAGACTTGCAGGTAGCATTCTCTTTCTTTCCCCAAACAAAACTTTGACAGGCCCCAGCTTTTCCTATTGGCTCTTCACTCACTCCCTGAGCTGGGAGGCCGTGTGGCATGATAGAGGATGGGTGGGGGCCTTGCCCAGGCACAGTGGGCACCTTGGGCACATCAGCTTGCACACACAGGGAAGTGGTGACGTCTTCTCCATACAAGTGTGTGGGCCCATTGCCTTTTCTCTTCCTTTCCCCCATGGCCACAAGACAAAGGGTATGCAAGGTTTTGAAAACTTAGAGGCAAAACACTTCTGGGAATTTGCAGTTACTTGAGTTTGCCAGAGGCTTGACTTGGTGTTTCTTTGCCTATCACACAGTCTGCTGGTGTTAGAGAGCACTCTGTGTGGCTCCCCAAACACAGCAGTGTTTGTCTCAAGACTGCGTATTCTCCATCTCTCTGCCTTTCTAGGTAAACTGTCAGACATTAAATCAACGTGGTCCTCTGGCCCTGCCTCCCACACGCAAGCCTCTCTGTCTCATGAACTGTGGAAGGTGCCCAGAAACACTACTGCACCCACGAGGCCACCTCCAGGGTTAACCAATCCCAAGCCCTCCTCCACCTGGGGTGCCAGCCCCCTTGGCTGGACCAGCTCCTACTCCTCAGGTAAGCTTCATGCTCCTCGTGTTCCAATGGGGGCCTTACCTTTTAGGGGATGTGCTTATCACTTCGTCCTGTACCTCCTTTGTAAGGACCCCTGCCTCTAACTCTGGAGCCTGGGAGGGCTTAGGAAGGCACCAGGGCCACCCTAGATGTCCAGGGCATTAGCTGGGTGAGCCTGGTGTTTTTAGCATCAGCCTAGGTGTGCCGGCACACAGCAGGTTTGCTCCGGGCCAAGAGGTCCCAGGCAGTTCCAGCACCCATTGAGGGCCCACGCTGGCCAACTCCATCCTCAGGAGTGCAGCTGCCTCGCACTGGGTCATTAGAGGCCTGCACAGTCCTTTAGGCTGTCTGCCCCCATGAACCCCCATCGCACAGGGATCTGGATTTCTGCTTTTTATATTTGCTTCTCCACAAGATGTCACTGGGACATAAGGCTTTTCCAGACCCAAAACGAAACAAACCCCACCAGTTTGAAAACACAACTCTCATAATATTGCAGCGTCTCTCAGGTGCTTCATGTCGAACCTCAGAGATGAGAAAAATGTACTGGGAATTGAAGAAACTGAAGACTTAAACTAATGTGGGCAACAAAGCGAGACCCCATCTCCACAAAAAAGTAAAAAAAATAAGTGGGGCGTAGTGGCACATACCTGTGATCCCAACTGCTGGGGAGGCTGAGATGGGAGAACAGCTCAAGCCCAGGAGATTGAGGCTACAGTGAGCTATGCTTGAGCCACTGCACTCCAGCCTGGGTGACAGAGTGAGACCCTGTCTCTAAAAAAATAATAGTAATAAATAACAAAATTTTTAAAATCAGCTACAGATAGTGTATTCGTCCATTTTCACACTGCTGATGAAGACATACCCGAGACTGGGCAATTTACAAAAGAAAGAGGTTTATTAGACTTACAGTTCCACGTGACTGGGGAGGCCTCACATTCCTGGCAGAAGGTGAAAGGCATGTCTCACATGGTTGCAGACAAGGAGAGAGAGAGCTTGTGCAGGGAAACTCCCATTTTTAAAACCATCAGATCTCATGAGACTTATTCACTATCATGAAAACAGTATGGAAAAGACCTTCCCCCATAATTCAGTTACCTCCCACTGGGCTCCTTCCATGAAACATGGGAATTGTGGGAGTTACAATTCAAGATGAGATTTGGGTAGGGACACAGCCACACCGTATCATTCTGCCTCTGACCCCTCCCAAATCTCATGTCCTCACATTTCAAAACCAATCATGCCTTCCCAGCAGTTCCCCAAAGTCTTCATTTCAGCAGTAACTCAGAAGTCCACAGTCCAAAATCTGTCTGAGATAAGGCAAGTCCCTTCCACCTACAAGCCTGTAAAATCAAAAGCAAGTTAGTTACTTCCTAGATACAATGGGGGTACAGGCATTGGGTAAATACAGTCATTCCAAATGGGAGAAATAGGCCAAAACAAAGGGGCTACAGATCCCATGCAAGACTGAAATCCAGCAGGACAGTCAAATCTTAAAGCTCCAAAATGATCTTCTTTGACTCCGTGTCTCACGTCAGGGTCATGCTTAGGCAGGAGGTTGGTTGCCATGGTGTTGGGCAGCTCTTCAGGGTACAGCCTCCCTCTTGGCTGCCTTCACCTGCTGGTATTGTCTGTCTGCGGCTTTTCCAGGCACTCGGTGCAAGCTGTCAGCGGATCTACCATTCTGGGGTCTAGAGGGCGGTGACCTTCTTCTCACAGCTCTACTAGGTGGTGCCCCAGCAGGGACTATTTCCCTTCCACACTGCCCTAGCAGAGGTTCTCCATGAGAGTCCTGCCCCTGCAGCAAACTATCGTCTGAACATCCAGGCATTTCCATACATCCTCCGAAATCTAGGCGGAGGTTCCCAAACCTCAGTTCTTCACTTCTGTGCACCCAGAGTCTCAACACCATGTGGAAGCTGCCAAGGCTTAGAGATTGCACCCTCTGAAGCCATGGCCCAGGCTGTACCTTGGCACCTTTTAGTCACAGCCAGAGCAGGTGGGACACAGGGCACCAGATTCTTAACCTGCACACAGCATGTGGACCCTGGGCCTGGCCTATGAAGCCATTTTTTCCTTGTAGGCCTCTGAGCCTGTGCTGGGAGGGGCTTCTATGAAGACCTCTTACATGCTCTAGAGACAGTCTCCATTTTCTCCATTGTCTTGGGGATTAACATGCAGCTCCTCATTACTTAGGCAAATTTCTGCACCCTGCTTGAATTTTTCCTCAGAAAATGGGATTTCCTTTTTTTTTTTCTGAGATAGAGTTTCACTCTTGTCACCCAGGCTGGAGTACAATGGCGTGATCTCGGCACACTGCCACCTCTGCCTCCCAGGTTCAAGCAATTCTCCTGCCTCAGCCTCCTGAGTAGCTGGGATTACAGGCGCCCACCACCACGCCTGGCTAATTTTTGTATTTTTAATAGAGATGGGGTTTCACCATGTTGGCCAGGCTGGTCTCAAACTACTGACCTCAGGTAATCCACCCATCTCAGCCTCCCAAATGCTGGGATTACAGGCGTGAGCCACCATACCCAGCCAATTTTCTGAACTTTTATGTTCCGCTTCCCTTATAAAACTGAATGCTTTTAACAGCACCCAAGTCACCTCTTGAATGCTTTGCTGCTTAGAAATTTCTTCTGCCAGATACCCTAAATCATCTCTCTCAAGTTGAAAGTTCCACAAATCTCTAGGGCAGTCTCTGCTAAAACAACAAGAGCCACCTTTGCTCCAGTTCCCAAAATGTTCCTCATTGTCATCTGAGACCACTTCAGCCTGGACTTTATTGTCCATATCCCTATCAGCATTTTTGTCAAAGCCATTTCACAAGTCTCTAGGAAGTTACAAACTTTCCCACATTTTCTCATCTTTTTCTGAGCCTTGAGTTCCAACCTCTGCCTGTTACCCAGTTCCAAAGTTGCTTCTGTGCGGAGACCAGCTTGACTGGGGAGACCCTAACCCAGCGGTGCTAGAGGAATTAAAGACACACACAGAAATATAGAGGTGTGACGTGGGATATCAGGGGTCTCACAGCCTTCAGAGCTAAGAGCCCTGAACAGAGATTTACCCACATATTCATTAACAGCAAGTCAGTCATTAGCATTGTTTTTATAGATACTAGATTAACTAAAAGTATCCCTTATGGGAAAGGAAGGGATGGGCCGAAATAAAGGGATGAGTTGGGCTAGTTATCTGCAGCAGGAGCACGTCCTTAAGGCACAGATCGCTCATGCTATTGTTTGTGGCTTAAGAATACCTTTAAGCAGTTTTCCGCCCTGGATGGGCCAGGTGTTCCTTGCCCTCTTTCTGGTAAACCCACAACCTTCCAGTGTGGGCTTTATGGCCATCATGAACATGTCACAGTGCTGCAGAGATTTTGTTTATGGCCAGTTTTGGGCCAGTTTAATGGCCAGATCTGGGGGGAGGAGCTGTTCCCAACATGTTCCCCTTCTTTGATTTGCAAAGCAATAAAAGCAAAGGCAGCTTTGTCACGGTGAGCTACTTCTTGCAGGAGTCAGGATCCGCATCTGCAGACCATACAAAGACAACACAGATTAAAAGCACAATCATCATTGAAATCACAGCACTTCCAAGTGTTTTTATCCATTTTAATGGGTTACTAGCTGCTAATCTGTTTGCAGCTCCTTCTAGCACTCCAGTTCCTGGCATTAAGGTCAGGTGTGCCTGGGATGCTTTAAATATTTGTTCTTTTAATTTTGCAATATCCAAAAATAAGTTTGTAGAGTGTCCCTCTAGATGCTTTTTTGGTCTTTCCCAAATTTTGATCTTATTAAGAGCTATTAATAATTTCCACAAATCCTTATGTTTAGTTCCTACAACGGGCCATATCATTTGAGGTTGAGGTGCCACTATACCGCCATGGTTCCAGATAATAGGAACTTTTGCCATACTTCTTATCATTTCTACCCTCTGACCATTTTGTTCAGATCAGCTGAACATAGTGTGGCCGAGGCACACAGACTGAGAGGTGCAGTTCAAGCTAAACATCCCCTTGGGGGACCAATTAATAATGATTCCATAGGAATCGGTGTGCAGCACCTCTGCCTGTTCTGCATCCCTGTCAGCTTTTTTGTCAAAGCCATTTCACAAGTCTCTAGGAAGTTCCAAACTGTCCCACATTTTCCCATCTTTTTCTGAGCCTTGAGTTCCAACCTCTGCCTGTTACTCAGTTCCAAAGTTGCTTCCACATTTTCAGGTATCTTTTCAGCAGCACCCCACTCTACTGGTACCAGTTTACTTTATTAGTCCATTTTCATGCTGCTGGTAAAGACATACCCAAGATGAGGCAATTTACAAAAGAAAGAGGTTTATTGGACTTATAACTCCACGTGGCTGGGGAGGCCTCATAGTCATGGCAGAAGGTGAAAGGCACATCTCACATGGTGGCAGACAAGAGAGCTTGTACAGAGAAACTCCAGTTGTTTAAACCGTCAGATCTTGTGAGACTATCACGAGAACAGCACAGGAAAGACGTGCCCCCATGATTCAATTACCTCCCACCGCGTTCCTCCCACAAAACATGGGAATCATGGGAGTTACGATTCAAGATGAGATTTGAATGGGGACACAGCCAAACCATATCAGATAGTTTGAAAGTAACAGTTTCTGCCTTTTAGCAGCAGTCTTTAGGGATTTGCTCTGTTGTATTAACCAGAAGAACCTGGGAGCACTGATTCCACACCAGGTCTGGGGACAGGCAGAGGTGGAGACCAGAGCTTTCCTGGAGATTGTCAGGCCTCTCATCACCCCTGTCTCTCCTGGCACAGATGGGAAAACACGGGTCTCCTGGGCTGGCGAGAAGATCCAAGAAGTCAGAGTCACCACGGGGAAGTGGGAAGGGGGTCTGCAGGGACTGTGAGGTTTTGGTTTACCTTGAGTATGGACCTCCCAGGCTGAGAAAGGCTGTCCTGGATCATGTGGTGATGGCCCGTGCTGTCCCACACTTCAGCACAGTAAGAGGTGGGGAGGCCGCACTATCCACTGGCACGGGGCCTTGTCAACTGGGTTCTCCCCTCTTGTTGCAGGTTCTGCCTGGAGCACCGACGCCTCAGGAAGAACCAGCAGCTGGCTCGTTCTTCGAAACCTCACTCCCCAGGTGCAGTACGGTGCCCCTGTGTCGCTGAGCATGATCCAAGGAGGGTTCCCTCTTGGCCCCCGATGCAGATGAGGCTGTCTGGTGGGGCGGGATAGTCGGGGGTTCTTGGTCAGGGTCCAGAGGTGATGCTGCACAGGAGGAGATGAGCAAGTGTCAGGCTTGGCTCCAGCAGCAGCAGCAGATGGAGTCCAGGGGTCTCTCTTAACCATGTTCTTGGTGAATTGTTTGTTTACTCACTAGAGGCTGGAAAAGTGTGCTCTGTAAATAGAATTGTTTATCTTACAACTACCCATTCAAGAGTGGTTGGGCCTGGCCGGTCGCAGTAGCTCACGCCTGTAATCCCAGCACTTTGGGAGGTCAAGGTCAGGGATCACCTGAGCCCAAGATTTGGAGACCAGCCTGGGCAACATAGCAAGACCCCACGTGTGTATTTTTATAACATTTTTTAAAAGAGTGGTTTGGCCACGTCAGACTGTGGGACTAGCCAGTCCCTTCTTGGGACCCAGACCACACCCACCTACACATCTCCCAAGTCTGTTGTCAGCAGCTAGACCCAGGTGCCTTTTGCAAACCAGGGGCTGTGTGTGATGTGCTCTGGTGAAAGGAGAGCTGAACTCAAAGTGGGGTTTTTCTCCTTCCTCTGATAAGCCTAACTCATAAAATATAACTGAAACATCCAAGATTTTAGTTACACGTTTGGCCACAGAGATATAGAATGTGAACATTGTAAAATCATATTATTAAAGCCTTTTAAAGAAAAACATTTTCCTAGTGTTTAGTGTATCCAGTTTCATGTTTTTTCTTTGGAAGGCTGTAGTGAAAGAAATCAGAAGAAAGCTCATTCACGCCCCTGTGCTTCCTCTGTCAGATTGACGGTTCTACACTGCGGACATTGTGTTTGCAACATGGGCCTCTCATCACATTCCACCTGAATCTGACTCAAGGCAATGCCGTGGTCCGGTATAGCTCCAAGGAGGAGGCTGCCAAGGCCCAGAAGTCTTTGCACATGTATGTTTCCTCACAGCCACCTCAGCGCTCCAAGTAGCTCCACATCCCCCAGAGCATTAAGTTAGGGGTGTTGCAGGGGGGTCCTGAGCCGCCATAGCAGCATCCCACAGGCTGGCCACCCTCCCGCTTCTGGAGGCCGGAGGTCTGACACCCAAGATGAAGGTGTGGGCAGGGCTGGTTTCTCCTGAAGCCTCTCTCCTTGGCTGTAGACAGCTGCCCTCTCCCTCTGTTCTTACATGGTCGTCTCTTTGTGCATGTTGGTGCCCTGATCTCTCCTTATAAGGACACCAGTCATGTTGGACTAGGGCCCACCCATGTGACCTCATCTAACTAACTAAATTACCTCTTTAAAGACCCCATCTTCAAACACAGTCACATAGGGAGGTACTGGGGGTTAGGACTTCAGCAAAGGGATTGGGGGAAGGCGACACAGGTCAGTTCCTCACAGGTATCTTGAGACTTACTATTGGTTTTTTCTGCTGCTGAGTTGCTGTGTCTACTCCCCTCTGCCTGTGACACATTCCTACAAAGGGCCCAGCAGCGGTCCTCACAGCCAACCCTTCACCCTGCCGAAAGGTTGCTTTTGATAGAAGTATAAGTAGACCTGATCAGTAATGTCACTTGAGACATGGAACCTAGAAATTAGTCATTCCTGTTTTTAGCCCAGGATGCAAATGACAGTGACCCTCACTGAGCCCACATTTAATGGTGTGTTCATGCACTTGAAGATGTACTCTCTGTACCAGTACGGTGTTGCTGCTAGAAGTCTGAACTGAGCAAAACCTTCACAGTCTGGGTTTGGAAATAGCAGTGGCAAAATAGAAGCCACACGATGGCTTCCAGGTAGCCTTTCCCAATACAAAGACAGAAAGCCAGTGCCACGAACTTACAGGACTTGGGGTGGCCCTGCTCACGTGCCCCATCTTGCTGTTGCAGGTGCGTCCTGGGAAACACTACCATCCTGGCTGAGTTCGCTGGCGAAGAAGAAGTGAATCGCTTCTTAGCCCAAGGCCAGGCGCTGCCACCCACCTCCAGCTGGCAGTCCAGTAGCGCGTCCAGCCAGCCGCGGCTCAGCGCAGCGGGCAGCTCCCATGGCCTGGTGCGCAGCGACGCTGGCCACTGGAATGCCCCATGCCTGGGTGGCAAGGGGAGCAGTGAGCTGCTGTGGGGTGGGGTGCCCCAGTACTCCAGCAGCCTGTGGGGCCCGCCCAGCGCTGACGACAGCAGGGTGATCGGCAGCCCCACCCCTCTGACCACCCTGCTGCCTGGGGACCTACTCAGCGGGGAGTCCCTGTAGGAGCTGCCATCATCAGCACCAGGAGAGCCGACCCCTCCCAGGACCCCTCCCAGCTGGGCGGCCCCACAGACCCGCTGGAACCCAGCAGCGGCCACCCTTTTGAGTACCTCTGTCCAGGACTGAAGACGAACCTTGGCCGCAGTCCTTGCGAACTGTTCGCAAAACAGTGCGGGCTGCGGTGGGTCAGCGTCACATGCTAATGACAGGATGTTCCTCGTAGCTTTTTATTTTGTGTGTCTTATGTTTGTATAGTGTGTTGTCATTTTGATTTTTTTTTTTTAAAGTATAAAAGCTGCTTAGAATAGTTCTATCATGAAGGGCACTTTTCAGATTGTGGGCTGGAAAGGGTTATTTTATCTGTGGGGGAGGGAGGGAGACGTGAAGCCTATTTAAAATGAGCCTGTGACGATTATGCACATTACCAGAGGCGGCCGGTAATCAGGGCAGAGTCTGGTGTGGACCGCCGGGCGCAGAGCGGCTCCACGGTGGGAGCTGAGCGGAAGGCGTGGGCTGCGATCTGCTCTCTGTTCCCCTGGATCCGCCTATGCACATTACCCTTGTTTCATTACTTTTTCATGTCATTTTTTTATCCCAAAAAATATTTTTTAAAAGTTAAAAAAAGACATATCAAACATGCAAATACTTGAATCCAGCAGGCCAATAGTGAAATGTGAACACTTTCTAATTCTACACTTCCAGGTTGACATCAGTACACAGAAACAGGCTCTAGGAAAAATTTCTGAGTTCATAGCCTCCGTGTGTATGTATGTGTGCGTGTTGAAACAGAAGTGTATGTGTGCGTGTGTGGCGCGTGCTCCTGCACAGCGTGCATTTTCTGTGTTTGTGTGTTTGAAAGCGTGTGAGGATTTAACTGTGGGTTTTCCCTTGTATTCAGTATATGCTTTTTTTTTTTTGGCGCATTGGTCAAACGTTTGTTATTATTAGCTTCTAACTTTGCACTGAGTGTCCTCGCCCTTCCTTTAGCTAATCCTATACATTACAGAGAATTCCTAGGACAGGGCTGGCGACAATTCATGTGTAAATGTTTACTCAAGGACTCTGTGACTGCGTTTAAAAAGTACAGTGTATATCTCTGGAGAAATAATATGTATACCTACCTTTAGCAGCTTTTTATTGTGGACTAATGCAAGAAAATTATTACCAGAGTATTGCACCATTTTTCCATTTGGAATATAAAGTTAAAGAGAAAAAAAAAACTGTTGTTGAACTGTGGCCATAGATACTTGTAAAGAATGGATGGTTCCGTGGAAGGAACAGAAACAAGCACTTGGGCGTGGGTTGTGACTGCTTTTGGGGGAGCCTGGGGTTTGGGCTCCCACCTGTTTACAGACCTTTTTTTCTCCTTCAGACTTTAAAATTTTAAAAATTTAAAAAGGAATTAAAAAAAAAAAAAAAAGACTTCCGTCGTAAAGAAACCTATTTTCAGAATGCAGATGCGCTCCTTCAGAGCTCTGGGACGGGACGGCGTTGTTCCCTCGGCCATCGTCGTGGATTCTGTCGATTGCTTTCGCCCCTTCGTCAAGGTGACAGGCGTTGTGGCCACTGTCTTGCACATGCCGGACGCGCTCTCAGGAAAGCCAGGGCTCCCGAGGGCAGCTCCACACCATTTCATGTATTTTTAAACCCAACTCCTAGCACTGAAGATGTTATTTAAAAAAAAAACAAAAAAAACAAAAAAATGAAAAAAAAGAAAAAGAGGAAAAAAAAATCACAAAGAAGAAAAATACCTAATCTCTAATGTGTAGCAGTTACATATTTACCAAATAATGGACTCAAAAGAAATAGATGTTTGAAGAGTGCTTTATATATTAAAAATTGCTTTATGTTTTAAAAATGATCAATGTTTTGATTGTTTTGCAAGGAAGAAAGACAATGGAATAACATACCCTCAAGTATGTTTTAAAATATATATATATGAACATTGTGCTCCCTGCCTGCTTGATCAGGAAACTTGTGCATTACATTTTTTTTAATTAGCTTTTTAATGGTTTTATCAAAACAAAAAAAATACAAAAAAAAAAAGTCCTGCAAGATTGCAGATCCACAAAAGCTGGTTTTATAGAGGATCATGAACTATGCACAAACTGGGTTCAAGACTTTTTTTCTCAAGTTTAGTAGGATATTTAGCAAAACCAACCTTCCTCAGAGTGACTGCATCTCATTGCCATTACATGCGTTCTATATATTTGATGGACATACACACCTGCGTATGTATATCCAATATGTGTGTGTGTGAGCGTGCGTGTGCGTATGTGCACCCGACATACCACTTCCCGTGCTGCCGGCGAGCATTGAGTTGTAGAAAAACTCCTGTTGTTTTAAAATTGGGGATGGAAGTCAAGAATATGTTTGTTTGTTTTTGGGTTTTGTTGGGTTTGTTTGAGGTTTTTTTGTTTTTTTTGTTTGTTTTGTTTTGGGGTTTTTTTGACCTTTTATTTTGAACTTAGTATGTCTGTAACTCTGAGATTAAAAAACAAGTTTGTGGCTCTTAATGTTTTCCTCATAGAATGTGATTGTTGCAGAACATGCATCGAAAGTTGCTTTCGAAAGTACAACGCTTTATTGAATCTTAATAAATTGCAATTTTTTTTCTTGGCTGTTCAAAGTAATGTGTTTTTCATTTTTCAAAACAGATACTATGGATGTCTACTTTGCACGCTGCGATGGGGAGAGCTGTCCCGCTGTGTGCGTTCCCTCTATTTCCTCAGAGCTCACATACGTACCTCTCATGAGTGAACTCAGACTTCCTGTTGTTTTGCTTTATTCTATCATTTGCTTTGTGGTTTTGCTGTAAATATTGAAATCTTAATTGTTGAGAGGCACAACCAAGCTTTCTAGCTCTCCACCCCCACAGTCCATCCGAGTCTGTTCATCTGGTAACTTGTTTGGGACGGCAGCAAGAAGAGGCTGGGGCCCGCCTGTAGTCCTGGCAGAGGAGTGCCACTCACTTTTGCCTAGGGTCCAGTTTGGGCTTAAAAAATATTCAAAGAGAATAATGAGGATTTTTTGTGTTTCCTAGACATTTTATGCATTTATTTTTGTAAAATCACCTTCGCTAACTGTCACCGAGCACTTTGAGCACAGTGGAACTTCGGAAGCAGCACCAGCCTCACCCCAGAATCTCAGTTGGCATAGCTAGAAACTGAGTCCCTTCCTAGGACACTGGCCGTGGCCTTCAGGGTGTCCAGTCAGTGCCACCAGTGTGGCATTGGTGTTGCAGACCGGCCTCTGAAGACAAACCGAGCACCCCGGCAGCCCCTCACTCAAACTAAGCAAAGGTCTTTTTTCTGTCTCCACTCCCTAGGGAAAGGTCAAAGGTGGACCTGCCCACTTTGAGTCAATTCCTTCAAAAAGATGGGACCCGCACCATGCCACAGGCTGCCCCCTCTCCACCATGGGGAAGGCGGGGTGCTGCTGGCTCTGACCACCCTCTTTTGGAAATTGAGAAGGAAAGCATTGAGTGGGACCTAATGCGGAAAAGAAATCAAAGACCAGAAAAGGAAGCCGGGAATGAAACTCAAGATGCACCTGAACCTGGAAGCGGCAACCCTCGGCTCTGCGTGGAGCCTCAGCAAGAGTTCCTTTTGTGCCTGCGTTACGATGGAGCAAACCGTACCCATGCCTGTGCGCTGGGAGAACAAGGTCAGCACCCAAGGGCGTGCAAAGGATGTGGCAGGCTTCACGGAGGAGGTGGCATCTGCCCTGGGCCTGGGAGACCAGGTTGGATTTTGACAGACTGGCAACTCGGGGGACAGATGGGGAGCACAGTGTAAGCTAAAGCCCCATGTAGGGACCCCACACAAAGACCTCGTGGGCTTCCAGGGCACCATCTCCACCCATGAGTGGGAAGGAGGCTTGAAGAAAACAGGTTCTTCACCTGCATCTGTGGATATTTTTTTTTAAGTTTATTAATTTTTTTTTTTTTTTAATGACAGGTTCAGACCTGCCCTTTGCGGTTTGTGTGTTTGTTTAATACAGGGTCTCTGTCTCCCAGGCTGGAGTGCAGTGATGTAATCTCAGCTCACTGCAACCTTGACCTCAAGCAATCTTCCCACCTCAGCCTCCCAAGTAGCTGGGACCACAAGCATGCATGCACCACCTACACTCAGCTCATTTCATTTTTTTGTAGAGATGGGGTTTCACCATGTTGCCCAGGCTGGTCTCGAACTGCTGGGAATATAGGCATGAGCCACTGTGCCCAGCCTTTTTTTTTTTTTTTTTTTTTTTTTTTAACTATTTTGGCAACATCACTGCAGACCGCTAAAGGCAGAAAGCAGGGTGCCCAGCGGCTAGCAGTGTGGCATGCCAAGAAGGCTGTTCTAATGGGGGAGAAGCCAGCAGATGCAGAGGCGTTACGGTGTGCCTCGACTGAGTGTGTGTTCAGTGAAGAGGGAAAACGGAGACAGTGGGGCATCCCAAGAAGATCCTCTGCAGGAGTGCAGTGTCTACGGATGGACCAAGAAAACCTACGCAGGATCCAGGTGGAAACAAAGCTGCTTAGCTCTGCACGTCAGTGCTCAGCAGAGTTGTGGCTGATGGGCTTCTAGTGCAGGACTGGCCCCCGAACAGCAGCAAGTGTAGTATGCCTGGCCCCCAGGTCGTCATGAAAACCAGACGCAGACACTCGGGAGGCTGAGGCGGGAGGATCATCTGAGCCCAGGAGGTCGAGGCTGCAGTGAGCTGTGATCGTGCCACTGTACTCCAGGATGGGCAACAGAGTGAGAGCCCATCTCAAAAAAGCAGAAGCACATTTCCGAAGCCCCCCAAGCCCACGGGCGTTTGTGACAACCTGGTACTTGGATAGGCCCAAACCAGGGGTTCTCAGCCTTGGCCCATATTAGAATTATCTGAAAGTTTTTAAGATAATTCACATCATGCCAGGCACGGTGGCTCACACCTGTAATCCCAGCACTTTGGGAGGCCAAGGCGGGCAGATCACGAGGTCAGGAGATTGAGACCATCCTGGCTAACACAGTGAAACCCCGACTCTACTAAAAATACAAAAACTTAGCCGGGTGTGGTGGCGGGTGCCTGTAGTCCCAGCTACTCGGGAGGCTGAGGCAGGAGAATGGTGTGAACCCGAGAGGCGGAGCTTGCAGTGAGCCGAGATCGTACCACTGCACTCTAGCCTGGGCAACAGAGCAAGACTGTCTCAAAAAAAAAAAAAGCCGGCCATGGTGGCACGTGCCTGTAATCCCAGCTACTCAGGAAGCTGAGACAGGAGAATCGCTTGAACCCAGTAGGCGGAGGTTGCAGTGAGCCAAGATTGTCCCATTGCACTCCAGCCTGGGCAACAAGAGTGAAACTCTGTCCCCCCCGGAAAAAAAAAAAAAAAAAAAAAAAAAAAATCACATCCAAAATTTTAAAGATAATTCACATCCAAATCAACTCAAGAACAGAATCTCTGGGGGTGGGCCTCAGGCACCGGTGTTTGTTTGTGTGTGTTGAGACAGGGTCTTGCTGTTGTCCATGCTGGATTCAAAACACCTGGGCTCAGCAGGTGTAGTGGTTCACACTGTAATCCCAGCACTTCGGGAGGCTGAGGCAGGCAGATCACCTGAGGTCAAGAGATCGAGACCAGCCTGACCATCACGGTAAAACCCCATCTCTCCTAAAAAATACAAAGATCAGCCCCATATGGTGCCATGCGTCTATAATCCCAGCTACTTGGGAGGCTGAGGGAGTGAGCCAAGATCGTAGAACTGCACTCCAGCCTGGGCAACAGAGCAAGACTCTCTCAAAAAGCAAATAAACCGAAACTCTTGGGCTCAAGCAATCCTCCACCTCAGCCTCTGGAGCAGCTGCAATTACAGACACGCGCCACCACCTCCAGCAAGTACCAACGTTTTTAAAACCTCTTCCGTGGGTTCTGTTGTGCAGCCAAGGCTGAGAAGCAGTGGCATAGTGGAGTCTTGTCATTCAGCCTGAAATAGCACCAACTTCCCATCCACTCGAACAAGTTTGCAGTGTCCAGGTCTTGGGCTGTTCTCGTCGGGCAAACACCTCAAACGGGTGCCAGGCATGGTACACAGCACACGAACTGTGTCACTTGATACAGCAGCCCCATGAGGTGAGGAGCTGGGAGGTCACAGAACACACACCCCAGGGCACCCAAGGACACACGGAAGCTCAGGCCTCCAGCACACAAGGGCTGCTCCAAAGAAACACAGGAAGTCCTCGCTGGAGGGTCTGTGGCCACAAGGTGGGGCCACAAGGTGGGTCCGCAGACAGAACCAATAGGAGATAGAGAGGACAGGCTCACCCAGCCGTAGGGCCTCAGGCTGGACATCCAGTGGGAGTGGACGCCGCCATCTCAAGGCAGAATTCCCTCTGTGGGAAACCTGGGTTTTTGCTCTTGAAGCTTTCAGCTGATGGGATGAGGCCCACCCACATTCTCAAGAATGATCTTTAGGTGTAATCGACTGTAGTTGTTCACCACATTCCAGCAGCACACGATCGCAGCAACACCTCGGTTCCTGTTGATGAGATCACTGGGTCCCACAGCCTGGCCTGGTTGACACAAACGACTGACTAGCACACACAGTAATTCTCCAGAAATATCTGGGGCAAGTTCTTCCACTTCCCTGCCATAAGCAGCTGGTACTGTGCTTTGTGAGGCTGGCAAGATGGGCTCAACAGGTCACAACCAATGATCATGTTGTCAAGCCAGCAGTGGCAGGCATACGTCCCCAGCCAGAGAGGGACCGTGATGGTTTGGAGGACGGCATCTGCACCAATGGGGGCCGGAAACCCTAGGTCAGTCACTCTGGACCATCAGTCACTTTCTGGACTGCCCACGCAGCTTGACCCAGCAGCGCTCACACCTGAAGACGCTGCCCCCGGCGGCCGCCCAGAATCAGCACCAGCTACTTGCTGAGGCCCAGAAGCACCACTTGGCTCAGATCCACCCAGATGGCCAACTCTGTGGGGCCCCGGTGGCAGCACCCAGATGTCTGCAGAGCACAGGAGCATCCCCATGGAACCGGGTGGGCTAGACCCAGCGCGGGGTCTGCTAACCGCCAGTGGCATCTCCACCTGGGTCTGACCCTTTTCTGGGCCCATCACTCTCCGACTGTTTCCCCACCCGGGCTCATTCCCCCAATCCGAAGCGCAGCTCCTCAGACATGAACCCTGGGCCGTGACGGGCTGGTCCCCGCAGGCCTGGAGCACTGGGGCCGTGATGGGTTGGTCCCCGAATCCCTGTGCCCACCCCCCACAGCCTAGGGTTTTCGGTATCCCACGGGCTCCTCAAACTCAGCCCAGTCAGACCCAGGGTCACCATGCCCCAGCCAACTGCTGGCAGCCAGACGCAGGGGGCCAGCCCTGCCTCACCAAGCCCTGTTCGCCTCCAAGCCCAGGTGCTGGCTGCCTATGCCTGGGAGGCAACTTGTCCCCACAGCTCATTTGCAACTGATATGTCTCCCCTCCAAGTCCCTCTCTAAATTTGCCTCCTGCTCCAGTGATGGTTGACGCATCGCTCTGGTCACGATCCTTGCCTGCTTGGCTCACTTGTGCGGTGTAAGCCCCTTCTGGGCACAGGTTCAGGCTGGTCAAAGGCAGTGAGCAGATCGAGCCCTGGCACGGTCCAGTTCCTGCCATCTGGAGCTTGACCAGCAGAGGGCGCCCCGACTCCAGCTGAGGTTCCCACGACCCAGGACGGCGCCTGGAGGTGGCCCCAGGGCAGCGGGAACAGGCCCTGGGCACGGTGCTCTGGCACAGGCTCTAGTCACAGGCACAGAGCCCCAAGGGACAAGCCCATCTGCAAAACCGCTTTAATCAGAAGAAACAGAGTCCCAGGCAGGGCAGAGTTCACTGTGGATGCCCAAGCCGGATTCACCCACCCTTCTGGCTCCAGCCCAGGCGCAGCTGCGGCTTTCAAGAGGCGAGACAGTATCTTCCTTGTCCTGATGTCCCAGCAGGGTCACTGGGAGGCACCAGTGTGGTCTCAGGGTGCTGGGCGGGCCGGTGAGGCCCATCGCCGTCCCCCTAGTCATCCCGTTCATCTGTGAGCAGGGCGGGGGGTGCTGCAGTCTCCTCGGTTGTCCCAACCCTGCCAGAAAGAGACGTCACTGACGGGACCCCGTCAACATCAACATCCCTGCAACCTGGCTGGGCACAGCCAGGCCCCGGCGAGGGACAGGCCAGGCGCCCCACAGCCTTTCTCCTGAGATGTATTTTAAGTCCCTGTCAAAATGGTCAGGCTTCAGAGGCCAGAGAAGGCTCTAGAGAGTGAAGGTGAGCGCTGGGGTGGGGATATTTGTAGGTCAAAAGCAATCAAGTGTCAGCAATGTCGTGGTGTAGCCCCAGTGGCAGCCCCACTGTCCGGCCCTGGGCCCTCTCCCCCCGGGCTCAGTGTCCCCACTCCCTCCACAGACCCTCACCTGCTCCTCTCCTCCCTCTCCTTCCTCTCGTAGATGGAGTGAAGCTTGTTGATTAAGAAGATTTTGTCTTCCCCCTCCTAGAAAAGCCAGAACACAAAGGGGAGAAGTCATCCATCAGCCCATCCAGAGCCAGCCTGTTCCAAAGTGCATTTGAGGGAAAACTCACAAGGTGCATTCAACATCACAAGCAGCAAAAAGGTAAAAGAAAAAGTAAAAGGTGAAAGGGCCACCAAACAAGGACAAGGAAAAACCAAGAGCCAGGAAGTGGGCATATATGTAGATCTAAGCTTCCTAGTGGCCAAAGTATAAAGGGAAATATAATCAGCAGCCCAGAGCCGGCCTGACTCAATGTAAAACCGGCCCTGCCACTTACTGGCTCTGCCTTGGGTTACTAACTCTCTGACCTCAGTGGCAGCATCTGGAAAGGGGGATAATAACACAAGGCACAGGGTTTACGTGAGTTTCCTGCTGCCGCTGTAAAGAGCTGTCAACTTCGTGGCTTAAACACCGCCAGTTTCTCAACTTTCAGTTCTGGAGGTGAGAAGTCCAAAATGAGTCTCACTGGGCTCCAATCAGGCATCGTCAGGGTTACGCTCCTCCTGGAGGCTTCGGGGGAGAGTCCCCTTCCTCGTCTTTTCCAGCTTCTAGAGTCCCCCAGACTCCTTGGCTCTCAGCCCTTTCCTCCACTTCAAAGCCAGCAGTGGCCGCTCAAGTTCCGCTCACGTGGCGCCACTCTGACCCTGACACTCCAGCCTCCGTTTTTCACCTCGAAGGACCCTGAGATCATGCTGGGTCACCATGATAATCCGGGGCCATCTCCTATCCCAAGCCAGCTACCTTCAACCTTACTTCCCCCAGCCACACAACATACTTGCAGGCTTCATACAGTCTTAGGATGGGGACATCTTTGGGGCCAGTACTGGACTGACCCAGGGCTCTTTCGACAATGAAATGTGACAAGCAGAGGGGGCACTTAGCAAAGGACCGGGCGCACAGAAACCGAGCATCAGTGCTTGGGTCAGACCGGGATTCCCTGCCAGGAACCTTCGCAAAGAGAACAGGAGTTCTGTCAAGAGCCACACAGATTGGCTCTGGGCACCTGGCAACCTGGCTCGGCCTAGGAGGGTCACTTAGAATACCTTTAAGAAGAGGCCATGGGCCCTTATGCAACAAACTAAGTTGCTTCTATCGAGTTGCTGATGAGTGTGGAGGGGCCGTGTGCTTGAGCCATGCCGACCTGCTCGGGGAAAGCTCAGGCCGACGGCCCCAAAGCCTGGGGTCAGAGCTCCGCCTTGGGTAGACACTACAGCCAGCATCCCCCTGGAGAAAGGTCCTTCCCATCCCAGAGCAACAGTGGGTAGAGCTGGGATTCTGCCAGCACCACTCTGCATTCCCTGCCCGGACCCACCTGGCCCTACCTGGCCCCTGGGGGCTCTGAAATGCCACCCAGTAGGGCAGGAGCCACTTCCCACTTCCAGTATCTATGGCCAGACGGCCAGACAACCAGTGCAGCCAGGAAGCCCGGCTTTCAGCTCTGTGTGGTGAAACGGGAAAGGCAGGAGATGGGACAGTGTGTACTGCAGTGTTTACAACCCAAGCAACATGGGAGCCGTCCCATGAGCGCTTGGGACGAGCTGGGACGAGCTGCCTGGAGCCCTGGCTCCTGGCACCAACTATCCAGCAGCAGGGTCACATGGCTGCTGAGGCCCACTGGCTGCGCCCCACCATGCCCTCGCCTTGGCAGACACAAGCCGCTGATCCCGACAAGCACCCCCCTAGCCCTGGTGTGGAGCACGCCTAAGGACACTGGCACTCACCAGCCCCAGAGTAAAAACCTGCAGGAGGACAAACCGCAATGGGAGGGGACGGGGAACCCTGGGGGGAGGGCAGAGCCCAGCAGCAGGATGCAAGCCTGGAAAAGACACAAGACATGCTTCGCGGGGGTCCGTTCCCCAGGGGAGAGGCCAGGCTGGGTGGCCCAGGGGGAAAAGTGCCTTGTTTCTAACTTGGTGGCTGCACAGTGGGCAAGAAGGTCCCCTGGGCAGAGGGAGTGGGCATGGGGGTGGGCATGGGGGCGAGCTGCTGGGCGCACACTCCTCCCGGAGGCTGCCCCTGGGGCATGGGGGCTGATCCCCTTCTGCAGCTCACTCCCATGCCACAGCATGAGGGTCTCATCACCTCATTCTGTCCCCCAGGCTGGAGTGCAGTGGCACAGTCATAGCTCACTGCAGCCTCAATGTGGGCTCAAGCGATCTCCTGCCTCAGCCTCCCAAGTAGCTGGGACCACAGGCACACACCACCATGCCCAGCTAACTTTTAAAATTTTTGCAGAGATGAGGTTTAGCTCTGTTGCCCAGGCTGGTCTCGAGCTCCTGGGCACCAGCCATCCTCCCAACCTTGGCCTCCCAAAGTGTTGGGACTATAGGCGTGAGCCACCACACCCAGCCAAACATTGTTTTCTTCATAAAAATGTTTTGGCCGGGTGTGGTGGCTCACACCTGTAATCCTAGCACTTTGGGAGGCTGAGGTGGGCGGACTGCCTCAGGAGCTGGAGACCAGCCTGGGCAACATGGTGAAACCCCATCTCTACTAAAATTACAAAAAATTATCTGGGTGTGGCAGCAGGTGCCTGCAGTCCCAGCCACTCGGGAAGCTGAGGCAGGAGAAACACTTGGGCCCAGGAGGCGGAGCTTGCAGCAGTGAGCCGAGATCGTGCCACTGCACTCCAGCCTGGGCGACAGAGCGAGACTCTGTCTCTAAAAAAAAAGAAAGAAAGAAAAAGTTTTCAGTACTGACTTTCCCTCAACCTTACTCCCCCTATTTGTAAAATGAGTCAAGAGTCCATAGGGATCCAAAAGCCATTTCTGGGATCTCAGAAATCCTCACAGAGACTGTCTGAGCCCTCAGCGGGGCCACCCCCAGGGGCTCTGAGAGCCCCGGTCCCAGTGGGGCCCTGCGGGTCCCTGGGGATCAGGAGCCTGGCTCTGTCTCACAGCTGCTTCATCACTTGATCTGAAGTGCACATATTGATCAGGGTCACTTGTCTGGCAAACAAACCCTTTCACCAGCCAAGGCCCACAGGAGAGGAGGTACAGGCGGGTGGAGAGGAGCGTAACCCCCAGGCGATCGAGAAGCAGGGCTGAGGGCAGCCCAGGTCAGGCAGGCGCTCGAGAGGGGGGCTGAGGGCAGCCCAGGTCGGGCAGGCGATCGAGAGGGGGGCTGAGGGCAGCCCAGGTCGGGCAGGCGATTGAGAGGGGGGCTGAGGGCAGCCCAGGTCGGGCACTCACGTTGCTGATCTGCTCCTTGAGCAGGCAGATGACCCTCCGCTGGCCCCGCACCACCTGGATGTTGAGGTAGATCACGGCCCTGGGGGAGAGGGGCTGTCAGGCAAGGAGTGAGGGCTATCTCCCCAGGGCCGCCCCTGCCTACGGGACTCACAGCAGCAGGGCCGACACCAGGAAGACGAAGAAGGTGTTTTCCACCAGGTACCGGTGCACCCAGGGCAGCCAGGAGACCCTGGGGCCCGCCGCCTCCAGGTAGCGCACCCACACCCTGCCGGCCTCGTACATGCTGTCCAGGGTCCGGAAGGGGCCACAGGTGCTCGAGGGCTTCACCCTGGGGAAGAGGCCGACCAGGAACCCCCCAGCCTGGGCAACAGCCCACCCGGCTCCCTCCCAGCCCGTCCTCTTCACCCCTAAGTCTTGGGCCCCCCAGGCACCACCACCCAACCCCAGGATGACACAGAAGGGTCCCCTCCACCCGCCCCTACTCACTGCCAGACTGCGTAGCAGAGGAAGATGGCAGCGCCCAGGAAGGCGGGGAAGCAGAGCAGCGTGAGGAAGACCGTGCTCATGTGTGAGGCCAGCCAGGGCCGGCGCGGCGCCTGGCAGTTGGCCAGAAGGCTGGTCTGCGGGGAAAGGCTACGCTCTGCCACCGTCCTGCTACCCCTCAGCACCCCTCCAAGGCCTGGGGGAGCTCAAGAGGGAAGGGCGACCAGAGCTGTGCATGCAGGCAGGGCCCAGGACAGGACCCCGCTCCCTGCAGCCTACTCATTTACAGAGGAAGACAGAGGCCTGCAGGTCACTCACACGCAAAGGGGTGATGCCAACAGCACCTCCATCCGCTGAAGGTCGCTGCCATGCCAGGCTCTGCACACAACACTGTACACCCCACCTCCCTCAGTCCCCACAGGAACATGGTCCCCATTGCATGGATGAGGAAACAGAAGGCCAGACAAGACAGGAGCCATCCGATGGCCAGGCACAGTGTCATCCTAGCTCACGCCTGTAATCCCAGCACTTTGGGAGGCTGAGGTGGGTGGATCACGAGGTCAGGAGATCGAGACCATCCTGGCTAACACAGTGAAACCCCGTCTCTACTAAAAATACAAAAAAATTAGCCGGATGTGGTGGCAGCGCCTGTAGTCCCAGCTACTTGGGAGGCTGAGGCAGGAGAATGGCATGAACCCAGGAGACGGAGCTTGCAGTGAGCCGAGATCGTGCCACTGCACTCCAGCCTGGGCAACAAAGCGAGACTCTGTCTCTAACATAAAATAAAATAAAATATAAAATAAAATAAAATATAAAATAAATAAAATAAAATAAAGACAGGAGCCAGGATGGGAAGGGAGGTCCCAGTTCTCAGCCACTGGGCATGACCTAGTTGCGGAGAGAGGACCAAGATCACTTTCCAGGGACCCAGCGGTCCCAAGGCTTAGTGTATCCCAAAGCCCTGGCACTACCCCTGGCCAAGGGCACACAGGCACCTGGTGATGACCTCTGAACCCAGCGATGCTTCCCGGCCTGCCAAAGACAGTGATGCCGGGAGCGATCAGCCATCCCTTGGGCTGAGGGACAGGCCAGGGCAGCCCCACTCCACTCCGGTGGGGAGGGTTCCAGTGTCCCAGGCTCTGCCCAGCTAAGTCCTGCCCCGACTGCCAGGCCGCCCTGCCAGCCCAGCCCTCCCCAGGCCTTGGCAGCCTCACCTTCTTGACGTAGAAGACGAGCAGCAGCTTGATGATCTGCACGGCGGGGAGGAGGGGTGAGAAGAGCACCCCCAGCCTGGGGAAGGGTGGCAGTTCAGGGGCTGCTCCGGTGCCGTCCCCCTCCCTGAGACCAGGCTGGTTCCAGACCATGGGTAGGGCATGTGAGAATGGCCAAAACTGGGTCCTGGCCAGGGCCTGCATCGCTCCAGGGTCCACAGCTGGGCCTGGCTGTGCCCTCAGTGGGAGGCAGGTGCAGGAACCCCAGGGGGAAAGGGGCACTGACCGAGGGGCCAGACAGCAGGAGGCAAGCAGAGGACCCTCACCAGGTCAGAGTCTGCCCGTAAATCAGCTCCAGGACATTCCGGGCGATGTCAAACTCCGGCTTCCGCCTCCTCTTCAGCTTCTTCTCGGAGATAATCCTGCCTCCGAGGACGACCCCAGAGAGTTAGACAGGAAACCCACGCCCAGGGAGGCTGGCCCAAGTCCCCACACCCAGAGGCGCCCACCCCCCAGCCAGGTGACATCCTGGCCCTTCCACAGATAATGCCAAGGACAGACAGTCACCAGCCTGGGGCCTCCACCCAGGGCTTGGTCACACCGGCCTCATCCAAAGTAGGTTCAGATACACCCAGAGTTAAACAAGCAGTATCAGCTCCAGCACCAAATGATGTTTTCTTTTTTGAAACAGGGTCTGGTTCTGTTGTCCAGGCTAGAGTGCAGTGGCACAATCGTGGCTCACTGTAGCCTTGACCTTCTGGGATCAGGCGATCCTCCCACCTCAGCCTCGTGAGTAGCTGGGACTCCAGGCACACACCACCATGCCCAGCTAATTTTTATTTATTTTTATTTTTATGTTTTTAGAGACAAGGTCTCACTCTGTTGCCCAGGCTGGTCCCCACCTCCTGGGCTCAAGTGATCCTCCCACCTCAGCCTCCCAAAGTGCTGGGATTACAGGCGTGAGTCACTGCACCAGCTCTCCTACTGACTTTTTTAATCTTATTATTGTTAAATCCACATATTCTCGAAGAAAACACCAAGAGGAAAACCCAGCTGAAGTACCAGAACCTGCAGCAGAATACCTGGAACATTTTTTAAATCTTCCTCTGCTGTCCATTCCCTGCTGCCTGTTTTTCCTTTGTATCCTAGACTGAGGTTGTGTGATACACGTTTTTTGTTTTTTGTTTTTTGTGACACAGTCTCGCTCTGTCGCCCAGGCTGGAGTGCAGAGGCACAATCTCAGCTCACTACAGCCTCTGCTTCCCGGGTTCAAGCGATTCTCATGCCTCAACCTCCCGAGTAGCTGCAACTACTGGTGTGCGCCCCGACACCCGGCTACTTTTCGTATTTTTAGTAGAGACGAGGTTTTGCCATGTTGGCCAGGCTGGTCTCAAACTCCTGACCTCAGGTGATCCACCCACCTCACCCTCCCAAAATGCTGGGATTACAGGTGTGAGCCACCACGCCTGGCCATACACATCCCTTTGAAACCTGTTTTCCTTTCCAATCTAAACATGAGATCGGTTCTATTTCCAGAGTCTTCCTCTGAAGGGTGGAGACACAGGGCCTGATGTGAAAGGTCCAGGCCTGAGAACCTCCCAGCCACGCGTACTGGCCACTAAGGGGAGAACGCTCCCCACCCAGCCCACCCAGGGCCTCCTCACCTCCACACCAGTTCCCCAAAAAGCGTGTCCAGAAGCATGAGGACGAAGTCCATCACCAGAAACCGGTACAGCTCCTGGCCCACGAAGTCCTCCCAGCACTGACTCTGCAGGACAGCCACCCTGCGGCCCAGCCAGTGGTAGCACAGTGTCCCCAGGATGGCCAGCTTGAGGATGAGGTTCCTGCAGAGGGCAGGGTGCAGAGACTGAGGGGCGGGTGCAGGGGACAGAAGATGCACCCCAGGGCCCCCACCAGGGGCTCAGCCACACCGGCCTCTTCCTAAGTAGGCTTGGATACACCCAGAGCTAAACAACCAGTATCAGCTCCAGCACCAAATGATGTTTTCATGCGCAGCCACACACCTGCAGATGGCCACGTACACCTCCAGTACCGGGGAGTCATGTGGCTCCAGGGCGGCCAGAACACGGCACAGGTAGGGGGCCCCCAGGTTGAGGAGGCCAACCACCAGGGGCAGGACCAGCAGCGAAGCCTCCTGGCCAGCAGCCTCCGGACTCTGCAGGGATTGGTGTCACGGAAGCCCCCCCATTTATGGTGGGAGGGGGCAGCTACAGGGAGGGGCCCGGGGCAGAACTGGCAGGCAGCACCTCCCTCCTCCAAGATCTGGCCCTCCCCAGGCCTCAAGTTCAAACCACACAGGAAGTGGGGGAGGGGCACGGGTAGTGGAGAAGAAACCAGAAACCGAAAAAAAGCCGTGAGATAGAAAAAGGGACGAGAAGTGGGGCTGGGAGGGAGCCCCAGCACCGGGCGCAGCGTACGTGGCACCCTGGGCTGGCTGGGTGGAGGAGGGGAGGCAAGGCTGCCTCCCCAGGGGGCTGGTGCCCAGAGTCACTGGAGACACGTTCCAAGCGAGGGCCAGGCTCCCCCCATCCCCGCACCTGGATCAAGAACTCTGAGAAGACGTGGATGGCCACAGCGCAGCCCAGCGCGGTCCCCAGACACAGCAGCCATGCAAGCCCCAGCGCAGCCGCCTGCCGCAGCCTCCCGCACACGCTCCTGGGGCTCTGCCGCAGCTGCCACTCGGCCAGCAGCTCCTGCAGGCGGCACCATGTCCCCGTCACCCACACCAGAGCACGGACACGTGCAGATGTGCAGATACAGCACAGGGCACACAACACACATGAGACACACCAGGAGGCTCGAACCAGGACAGAGGGTCAGTCCCCCATGCCCCACCTGCCTTTTCATCTGCTGAGGGCCCTCCCTCCAGACACAGAGAGGACCCAGTCCCCTGCCGAGAGGTCCCTGTGCCTGGGCCGGCATTCACTTCCGAGGCCTGCCTCAACCCTCTCCAGCTGCCTCCCCAGCCCTGCGCACTGGGGCTGGGGCCTTGCTCAGAGGTCCTTTCCTGTTCCCTGTGGATGTGGGTGGCCCCCAGTGACCAGAAGCCCCCCCCCCCATGAAATGGCTCATGACAGGTCGCAGCTCTGAGTTCCTTGAAGCACGGAACCCCAGAGAGGCAGAGAATGTTCCATGAGGCCCAGCTCTGCAGCCTCCTGGCCCCGCAATCTCTGCAAGGGCCTTGGCCTCTATGCCTCAGTCTCCTCACTGAGCCACAGAAAAAATGACAGTCCTCACCCACTGGGCTTCTGTGGCCACCAAGCTAACACCAGCCAGGGAGCATGTGTCCGCTGGGGCCTGGGGCCTGAGGCCTCAGGGCAGGCTCCCGGGTGCTCACTGGGCCATGGTGCTACTACCCGCTAGCAGACAACAGAGGCAGCCCCTAACTGAGGGGTGTGTACTGGCGAAAAACTCAGGGCCTGCCCTGTCACTGCAAGCAGAAGACCACGCCTGCCCAGCACCCCGAGTTCAGCTCACGGACAGATGGTCCTCCCTCTAGACCATGGTTCTGGCCACATGGTCCTAAGTGGACCCAGGGCCAGGCCTGCAGGGAACTGGGCAGGGCAGCTTGGTGCTCCAGGGCCACTCACCTTCAGCCGGGTGCGGATATTGTCCTGCTGGAGGCGGGAGGCCCGCTTCTGCGTCACCTTGTAGTCCCAGGAGCAGAAGACGGTGATGGCGTGGATGCCAGAGGTGCTCCCCACCCGGTAGCTCTCCCCGAAAGAGTGAGCCATGCTGGGGAGAAGCAGACACAGACATGGAACCGACAAGCTGAGGGGCAGAGGCCAAGGGGAGAAGGCAGACCGGATGCTCTTGACAGCCAGACCCCACCACCCACTCAGGAGCCATCTGGGGCCTGGCTGGGCCTCCTGCCATGCCCCTGCCCTGCCACCAGCCCTCTACACCAGCCTCATCCAACATAGCACCCACCAGCCACATCTGCCTAGAAGAGGGAGCAGGGCTGCGTTCACTACTGACTTGGCTGGTGGCCTCCCGGCGAGACACGGACCAGAAGATGCTGGGCTCACCTCAGGGCCTTTGCACTGCTGGTCCCAATGACCAAAACATCTTCCCTGCTTCCTTATGAATCCCCACTCTTATCTAACCTTCCCCTCTCAGGACAAGTGCCGCCTCCCCTGGGAAGCAGCCTGACTCCTTCCCCAGTGCTCCCATAACACCGGGAAAACACCGCTAAGCCTCCTGGATTGTCCCAGTCCATTCAGTGGTTCATCTTCTCCCAGAGATAGCAAACCCCGCTAGGACATTTACCATCCTGCCCTGAGCTGAGCACAGAGAATGTTTGTGCAATATGTAGATGCATGGGTGGGTGGGTGGGTGAATAAATGTGTGGGTAGATGGGTGGATGAATGGGTGGGCGGATGGGTGGATGGGCGGGTAAATTGAGTGGGTGGATGGGTGAGTAGATGGATGAATGGGTGGATGGATGGGTGAATGGATGCATAGGTGTGTGAATGGATGGGTGGGTGGATGGGTGGGTGGATGGATGGGTGGATGGATGGGTGGGTGGATGGATGGGTGAATGGATGCATGGGTGTGTGAGTGGATGAATGGGTGGATGAATGGGTGGATGGGTGGATGGATGGGTGGATGGGTGGGTGGATGGATGGGTGGATGGGTGGGTGGATGGATGGATGAGGGATGGGTGGGTGGATGGATGGGTGAATGGATGCATAGGTGTGTGAGTGGATGAATGGGTGGGTGGATATGGTGGATGGGTGGATGGATGGGTGGATGGGTGGGTGGATGGATGGGGTGGATGGGTGGGTGGATGGATGGATGGGTGAATGGAATTGACAGGGGTGTGTGAATGGATGAATGGTGGTGGATGAATGGGTGGATGGTGGTGGTGGGGTGGACGAATGGATGGGCGGTGGGTGGGCAGACGACGCACAGGTGCAGAACGATGAACGGGTGACGAACGGGTGACGGGTGGATGGTGACGGTGGTGATGGTGGTGATGGCGGTGACGGCGGTGGACGGACGGCGGGCGGATTGACGGACGGCGAACGATTTACCAGGTGCGAACGGGCGGACGGCGGACGAGTTTTCTTTAATTCTAATCTTAATTCTATCTTTTCTATCTTTTCTACCTTGTCTTTACCCTAATCTTACTTTTACCCTAACTTTTCAACTTTTCTACAATCTGTTTTTCACAACTAACTTCTTCACACCCTAACTTAACCCAACTTTTCTTCTTCTTCTTTTCACAATCTCAACCAACCCAATCCTTCCTTCCTTCCTTCCTTCAACAAACCCAAATCCTTCCTTCTTCAAACTTCTTCGGTGGATGACGGGTGGATGCAAGTGAATGGATGACAGGTGTGTGAATGGATGAATGGGTGGATGGGTGGGTGGATGGATGGGTGGGTGGATGGATGAATGAATGGATGGATGGGTGGGTGGATGAATGGGTGGATGGGTGGGTGGATGGATGGATGGATGGATGTATAGGTGTGTGAATGGATGAATGGGTGGATGAATGGGTGGATGGATGGGTGGGGTGGGGTGGATGGGGTGAGTAGATGGATGGACGGTGGATGGATGTGTGGGTAGGGGATGGGTGAATGGGTGGGTAGATGGATGAATGGGTGGATGAGTGGGTGGATGGGTGAAGGGGTGGGTGAATCGAGTGGGTGAGTGGGTGGATGGATGAATGGGTGGATGGGTGGGTGGATGCGTGAGTGGATGGATGGGTGGATGGATGGATGAATGGGTGGGTGAATGGGTGGGTGAATTGAGTGGGTGAGTGGGTGGATGGGTGGATAGGTGAGTAAATGGGTGGATAGGTGAGATGATGAAAGCAGACAGGTAGATGGATAGAAGGAAGAAAGAAAAGAGGGAAGAATCAACAAATGGGTGAAAGGATGAATGGATGGATGAGTGGAGCTCGGAGCCCAGGTCATGAGATGGAGACATTACCTGTACACCAGGGTGATGCAGCTGATGAAGAAGCCTGCGCCCACAGTGTAGAGGTAGGCCAGGGGCATGTTGTAAGGCAGGCCGCCCGCCCTGGGTGTGCACTGGCTGCCGTCCAGGGGGCTGCCACACGGCTGGTTCAGCGTGGCATTACTGTAGTGGCCGTAGAACATGACGGTGTGGGTGAAGCAACCCTGCCACAGGGAGAGCCAATGAGTCAGGGTTCTCCCCACACCGCACCCCACCCTCAGGCCTGACAGCCACAGAGGCAGAGCAGGAGGCGGCCAGGCAGGGGCCGAGAGGGAAACAGGGAGGGCCCATGGCCACAGCAATCTTGGGCCTCCCAGCCCCATGGGAACCCCAGCACGATGGGCATCAAGGGGCATTGAGGGGGAGGCAGGGAGCTGGCTGTGGCCACCTGGAGTCACAGCGGGCCAAGGGTTGGGGGCCCAGGGAAGCTGGGACAAGAAGGGGACACGGTACCAGGGCAGCAAGACAGGCACCCCCCTGTACCCCAGTCCTAGGGCTTCCTCACCGCGCCTGTGAGGAGCTCCAGGCCTGTGCAGATGGGGGCAGGGCCCGGCAGGGCAGGCGGGAAGGCGACCTGCGGGCCCATGATGAAGGCCACCAGCAGCAGCAGCAGGAGGGCGTTGAAAGCCAGCAGGGTCTTGAGGAAGAGGAAGTAGGAGAGCACGCTGGAGCCGAACTGGCCACCGATGCGCTTCAGAGCATAGCGCCATGGCGTCAGGGCCTGCAGGCCGGAGAGCAGCGCCAGCCCCAGGCTGTGCAAGGCCTGCGGGCACAGGCAGAGAGGCCGTGAGGGTGAGGCCGTTGGAGGCACCGACGCCACCCCAGCCCTGCCCAGCCGCCCCAGCCCCAGGGCAGACCAGGGGCCCCTACCAGCACGCAGGCATATCTGAGCCGGCCACAGCAGGAGCAGACCCCGCCGCTGCCCCGCTGGCCCCTCCACTTCCCCCTCGGGGTCCTGCTCTTCTCTCTGGGGACAGAGGCAGCCATAAGTGCCTGGACCAATGAGGGGCCTGACTCTCCCCTTCCTGGAGACCAGTCACCCACTGGCTTAGCCCCTTCTCCCCCACCACCCAGCCCAGCTGAGGAAGTGGGTCTGGGGGTGCAGAAGCAGGGGCGGGGCTGCTCACCGCAGGCTGCGTTTCTCAGCCAGGCTTAAGGGCATCCCTCGAAGCATGTGGTCCCGCTGTGCCACCGCCAGGCTCTGGAGCTCCTTCACCAGGAGGCTCTGCTTCTCTGCAAGAGGGAGAGGCAGGTCTTGCCCATCCTCAAGTGCCCCTCCCTGCCGCCTGCAGCCAGGACCCTGGACAGGCCTGTGCGTCCCTGCGGCACCGTCCCGAGACACCTTGGTGCCCTTATTTGAGCTTGAATCACCAATCCATGTGTTTGCTTCAGTCAGCCACTGCGACAAGCAGGGAGCTCACAGAGCAGAGGGGCCTGGTTCCCCTACACAGTCCCTGACTCAGGGACCAGAGCCACAACCTGCCAAGCACTCCAACACACTTGTGAGGTAAGACCCCCACTTCCCTGTCCCCATGAGTCCCTGCAGAGGGACGGGGGAGCCTTCAGGCAGCGGCTAAGGGATAGGAGAGGGACCTCTGGCTCTGCGGCACCCCAGCCCCCGCCCCGGCCAGGCTGGCCTCCTGCACCCCACCTCAGGCCGGTGTCTGCCTGGGACTGGGGCTCCGATGCCCACTCACCCTCCTCCTCCCGGGCTGTGGGGTCCAGCTCCAGGTCGTACAGGCGGAGGCTGGGCCGGGCAGAGAGGACGAAGCTCCCGAGCAGGGGCCGGCTGCTCCTGCGCCGAAGCTGCACCGTCCGGCTGTAGTACTGGGAGATGATGGCGCCTCGGCTGCGGCCTACGGAGGCAGCTGGGCAGGGCCAGGCCGAGCAAGGCCTGGCCTCCCTCCCTCCAGGAAGGGCTCACCACAGGCCTCCCCATCCCTCATCCCTTCCCAGGACCCAGGAAAATCCTTCCAACAAAGACTTCGGGCACCACTGCGTTCCGAAAGCCTATTTTTACCCCGTGACGACTCTGGAGTCATTTTTAGAACCCAAAGAGGGCCACATGGGGCTGTGCTGGGCCTCCAAGCGACAGACGGGGTGGGCTAGGAGCCCGCCCTGGGCCTGACTCTGAGCTACGGGAGCAGCCGCTACCCAGGGAGATGCCGGCGGGAAGCCCAGCCCAGCCCCAGGGGCTGGGGTCAACTCGGGCCGGGGCCGGGGGTCCCACTCACCAATGGTGCGGCTGGGCATGCTGGCCAGGATGCGGAGTGTGGCCGTGCTCTGGGTGCCCTCGGGCCGCCGGAGCGTCTGCTGACCACTGCCTACAAAGCAAGAAAGACTCGCCAGGGGTCCTAGAGATGCCGTTGGCCACAGTATCTCCTACCCCATCCCATGCCTGCAGAGCTGGGAGACCCGTCCTGAGGGGCTGGGGCACCCAAGTATTGGTCCACACTGCCCAGCATCCAGGCCTGGGCTTACCTGTGGCCTCCTGCTCTCTCTGCTGCAGCTCCAGCCCCTCCTGGGCCGCCCACTGGCTCTGTTCTTGGATGAGCTGGTGGAAGGAGTGGTGCACTTCGCTTTCATCGTAGGGGCTGGGCTCCTGGCTGCTGAGGGGGTTGATGGGGGGGCGGTCAGGCTACAGCCGCCTCTCTCCTTCCAGCGGCCCCTACTCAAGTGACCTCTCCGTGAGGGGTGGAACATTCCAGCCTCCAGCCCCAGAGCACTTACCCCTGTTCCCCCGGGGTCTCAGGGACATCGAGGATGAAGGCCAGCGGCTGGGCCATGTCTCTGGTCAACGCCCACTAGTCTGCAGACCTAGGGCAGCTCAGAGCCTGGGCGCCACCTCCAGAGCCTCCTGCTGCCCATCTGATGAGACAGGGGCACAGAGCCAGGGCTGGCCTTCAGTGCCTGGTGGGCGTTCACACCGGCCATTGCCGGGGGACCACGGGAGGTGCCACTCACAGCCCAGGCAGTCCTGTTTGCCCCCCTACCACCCCAGGTAGACACGTGGTCAGGCACCAAACTAGCCTCATGTCAGAATGGAATGGGGGCCCCTCCAGTGTCTGGAGAGGGGAGAGAGGAAGGAAGGGTGTGGGGTCTGCAGTTCCCCATCTGTTTCCTCGATGTCGCCAGTCCCTGGGAAATGGGGAAGAGGTGGGGTGCCTGTAGACACAGCCCCTCTCAGGACCTCCATTCCCAGGGTTCTGGCACGAGACACCTCCTTTTTGGAGAGAAAGGTCAGGGCAGGCTGGAGGCCGTCTCTGCATCTGCCCTATGACCCCAAAGCACTTCCTCCAGAGGAAATTAGCTGCTGGAGCCCTCACTGCCCCCAGCCCCAGGCGGAAGCAGCACAGGAGGCTCTTCCCCCACACAGCGGTCACTCCAGGCCACCCCCATCAGGGCGCCAAGGTCCTCATGTTCTCAGAAGACCCACTCCCCTGCATTCCATCATCCCAGGGCGGCCAGCTGGGGAGGGGTGGCCAGGACCTCAACAGGCCTCCTTTGTCCTGGCTCTGCTGTCACCCAGCACAACTGTAACCAGAGCAGCCTTGCCTGGGGCCCTGGGCTCAGGGCCTATTCACCCTATGGGAGTGGAGCCAGGACTCAGCTCCCAGCCACCAGCGAGTCCTGCCGGCCTCTGCCCTGGGCCGCTCCTGCCCTCACTCTCAGGAACTCAGGGCTCAAAGTCGGCCGGGTTGACGGGCGATTCCTCCAACAGACAAAGCCCGGGTGCCCCGACAGAGCAGCTCCTTGCAGGGCTGCCAGTCACAGGGCCAGATGGTGCCCTCCCTCAGTGTCCAGGGTGCCATGTTCGGGCCCAGGCCCCACACCACCCCCTCCCTCCAGCAGGCGCAAAGAGGTGGGAAAATCAGTACAGAGCTGGGTTCGAGGCGGTCCCCACCCAGCCTAACACGGGACAGCTGCCCAATGAGGGGCCTGAGGACGCCTCATCCAGTCTCTGAAGCTGGAATCCCTTCCTCCAGACAGGCCTTTCTAAGCTCAGGGGACCCGACACCCCAGCACCCCGCCCCGAGGCCCGGGCAAGTCCAGCGGAGTTTCCGGGCGCACCATTCCTGAGCCCTGAGCCAGGTGGGGAGGGCTGGGCGGCGCCCGTTTCCAGGAACCCCCACCCCATCCGGCAGCGAGCCCCCCCGGGAGCAGCCGCTACCCAGTGAGAGCTGCAACCTGGCCCTGGAGCCCAGGGCGGCTGCAACTCGGGGGCCACTGAACCCACCCAGCCGGCCTCCCTGTCCCTGTCCCTCCCCTCCCCTCCCAGTACCCCGGAGCTCGGCTGGGGGATCTGGGTGGGGGCTGCAGATTTGGCCCCCCACTCTGTCCTCTGCGCCCCTGCCGCTCCCAGCTCTGTCCGAGCCGGAGAGTCAAGCCCTGGGAGCTCCGGGAGCACCCGGGGAGGGAACTCGGCTACCAAGTGGCCTCAGAGGCCGAAAGAAATTCGGCGGGGGGGGGGGGGGGGGGGGGGGCGCGGGGGCGGTTTCCGCTGTCCCCGCATGAGAGCAGCAGCCGGGGCTGGCAGGACCCGGGACCGGAATCGCGGCTGCTCACCTGGGAGGCGCCGGGGAGGGGGGCCGCGCGCGCAGCCAGGGCTCACCTGTGCCCTGCAAGGGCCGCCGGGAACTAAGGGCTCGGCTCTCCTTCCCGAGGGAGTGGCAAAGGGCCCAGGGGGCGACGGGGCCAGTCGCAGCTCTGGCGGGGCCTGGGGGTAGCCGCACCTCCCGGCCCACGTGGGGGGGCGGGCGGGCCCCGGTTATCACGTGACCTGGCCCCGCCCGCGGCGTCCCTGCCCCCCCTCTGGGCGCCCCGCGGTGACTGTGCCTTCCTCCCCTGCCAACTTCCAACCCCTCCTCCTGAGGTCCGAGCTGGGCCATGGAGGCCGAGTGTCTGGATTCATTCCAGTCCCTGGTTGACGTACCCAATACCCAATTTTTGTGAGGCTGTTTCCCCAAGTTCCAAAAAGGGGCAGTACTTCCAGACCCATCTGCTTCCCATGGTTGGGGATTGTCCAAATAAGATGCCGCTGAAAGCCCCAGGAACAGAGTCTCTCACGCCAGATTAGGCAACCCCCCCCCCCCCCCCACCCAAGCCTCCTGCTGACTCTCCCCGACCTCCGCTGGGGGAGCCTGGTTATCTGCCCCTACTGACACCTGCGCAGGGTTCATTGTTTATCTAGCAAGAGTTCTGGCTCACTTCCTGTGTGCTGTGTGGAGAGGAGGGGATGAAAACGACATGCTGACACCTAGGTGACTGTCCCCAGGTGCTGTACCCATTGCCCTGTTTTCTGTTATTTCCCATGAGCCAGGAAGGTATACAATGATATTCTCCCATTTCACAGATGAGGAAACTGAGGCTGAGAGGTTAATCTGGGTGCCCCAGTCAAAGCAGGAGACTTGGTGGTCCACCTGGGAACTCTATGGAGGAAACTGGCTTTAAGATGGCACCCCCAAGCCCATTTGGAAGGGAGGGTCATTCCTGGTGGGGAGAGGCCATGAAGCAGGCAGGGTGAATGTGAGCTGGAGCCCAGGCAGGCAGGACAGGGCGCTGCTGCAGGTGAGAGCAGGCAGGCAAAAGCGAGGACCAGGCAGGGGCCAAGCTTCGGACCTTTTGCAGCTGCCAGTGTGGTCCTCAGATGGCTACCCCTAGCTGGTTCTTGGCAAGTGGCACCCTAGCATGGAGGCCCAGCCCCTTTCTCTCCTCCCACTGCTTCCCCCTCTCTGCATACCCACACTGAATTTGCATGAATGCCACCTCCTCTGGGGAGCCTCCCCAGATTGAACCCTGGTGGAGCACCTGCCACTTCCTATTGACACGTACATTTGTGGTTCTGTGCCCCCTCCTACCCCAACCCACTGTGTGCCCAGCACCAGCACACAGCTTGGGCCTGACACACAGAAAGGTGTCTGGAAACCAGGAAGGAGGTGGGCAGAGAGGCAGAAAAAGCTATGAACATTCAACCTGAGTGGGTTGATGACTGGGCCCTATAGCAGGTGGAAAGGGAGCAGAGAGGAAGGGCTGCGGGCCTCCCAGGGGCCTGAGGACAGGGAATTGGCAAAACTATGTCTTAAATATCTAGCCTGGGAGAGCATGAATGGAGCCAATCCCTGAGCACTAACTATGGGCCAGGTACTAGGCCTGGGCGTTGGCAAATGATAGCGCCAATGACCGGGGGAAGTCCAGCAGTAACACCAAGAGTATCTGGAAACCCAGCAGCCAGGTTCAGGGAAGCCAACCATCCTGTCATTATCACACCCTCCAGGGGCTCTGTGGCAGGCAGATAAAGAGTTTGGCCCCTGCACCCCACCGTCCGTATCCCCACCCATGTCAGGCTCCCAACTCGGGCCTCGAGGTCAGGTCCTGCCTCTCCAGGCTGGAAGGGGTTGAACGGAGAGGGCCTCAGTCACAGGCTGGGCATCCCTGGAGGCAGCCAGGGGGCAGACCAGGACAGTGGACCCTCAGGCTGCAAGAGACCAGGCCCCAACTCCTGTGCAGAGAGGAAGGGCGGGCCACCTGCAGCCCAGCGTGCACAGAGCTCCCGGGGAGGCTAAGTGGCCTATGCCTGTTACCTTCACCTCTGCATCTCAGGGGCCCACAGGAAGTGCCTGGTCCGCCTCAGTTTAGAGCAGAGGAAACCATGGGGTGGGAGGGGAGGAGGGAGGTAGTGGAGAGGGAAGCTGGGGTTCCTGTCACGTGACCCCTCCCCTGGGCTCCCTCACTGCCCTGCCTGGCTTGTCAGGAGTCGTCTGAGAAGGGTACTCCTCCAGGGACTCAGTCCCTCGGTCCCCAGGTGAGCTGGATGTTAAGTGGAGAGAGAATGCAGAGGGTGAGGGGCTGTGGAGGGCCAGCTAGAGCCCTACAAGGGCAGCAGTGGGTCCCTGCTCCTGTCCCCATGGCTGGGGCTGTAGCCACAGGTCCTCATCGGGGGCTCCCGGGGTATCTGGACAGACCCGGGCCTGGAGGCTGGACCACTAGAAGGAAGACAGAAAGGGGTCCCCGGCCATCCAGAGTCAGATGCGGCAGATGCCAAGTCCCAGGAACTGTGGGGTTTGGGACACAGGCTCTTCCTGAAGGGCAAACTGGCACGTGGAGAAGAGCAGGAATTGTCTATCCTCAGGGTGAAGGTGGGCACAGGCACAGATGGGTGCGGGGTGCAGCAGGTCCTGGCTTTGCCTGTGACAGTCTCGACTTTCCATGCCCTTGACAGATGGGGAGACTGAGGCCGTGGCTGTGTGTCCCTCTGAGAGTTGGAGCGGGACTGGGCCCGAATTCAACCCCAGTAGGATTCTCTCTCATTTCTGCGCCCCGGAGGCGGCAAAGCGGCAGACCCGGGCAAGTGGACCCTAGGGCTGCAGGAACCCAGGCCCCGACGCCGGCGCAGAGGGGAAGGACGGACCCGCCCCCAGCCCAGAGTGCACAGAGGCCAGGGCCGAGGCCTTGCGGCTCATCTACCTGGGGCTTCATATCCCCACCACGGGCAGCCAGGCGCCCCGGCCTCCACCCACGCCTGCCGAGATGCTGCCGCTGCGATCGGTGCCATCGGAGCGGGCCCCTGGGGTGCCGGAGCCGGAGGAGCTGTGGGAGGCAGAGATGGAGCGGCTGCGCTGCTCCGGGGTGCCCGTGCGCGGGCTGCCCTATGCCATGATGGACAAGCGCCTCATCTGGTGGGTGCCACGCGGGCGCCGGACGGTGGGTGGGGGGGTGCTGCGAGGCTGCCCCGTCGGATGGGGTGGGAACACCCCGTCTGCCTGGCCCAGGTGGGCAGGGCGGGTGACTCAGGGGCGCCCGTCACCACCCCCGTCCAGGCAGCTGCGGGAGCCCGCGGGGGTGCAGACCTTGCGCTGGCAGAGGTGGCAGCGCCGGCGGCAGACGGTGGAAAGGCGCCTGCGGGAGGCAGCGCAGAGGCTGGCCCGGGGCCTTGGGCTCTGGGAAGCGGCGCTCTACGAGATCGGGGGTAGGACCCGCGCGAACCGCGCCTCCCCTTGCCCTCTCTGGAGCCCCACTGCCCAAATCGGAAAAAGAAGGGTGGCATCATCCCACCTGCCTTCGCCCGGGTCCCCCGACCAATCAGCCCCTCCCCCCTCCCACCCCCTCCGCCCGCGGGCACCGCAAACCTCGAGCCCCCGCAGCGCCCCCAGGTGACTGTCAGCAGTACCTCCGGACTCGGGCGGGCACCCACCCCGTCCGGTGGGTCCGCCCTTGGACTCTCAGCCCGGCCCCAGCCTCCCTGACCCACCCTGCTCTCCCCCTGCAGGCCTCTTCGGCACCGGAATCCGGTCCTACTTCACCTTCCTCCGCTTCCTGCTGCTACTCAACCTGCTGAGCCTGCTGCTCACCGCAAGCTTCGTGCTGCTGCCCCTGGCCTGGCTCCGCCCCCCTGACCCAGGCCCCGCCCTGAACTTGAGTGAGTGCGCGACCCACCAGGGGAAGTGCTGCGGTGTCCACTTGCGCCATGAAGGGCTGGCCCAGGGCCCAGAGCGTGGGGACAACCCTGGGCGTGGTCCTGCTGTGCCGGCCCCGGGGCTCTCTCCCCGTGACCCCGTCTTCTGTGGGGCACACCTCTGGCACATCCTCAGCCCCCTGCTCAGGCCTCCCCAGGGTTGGGGGTTACGGAGCAGTAGCCACAGAACCTCACCTATGCCTTGGGGATCCCTCTCTATTGACCTCCTTCCTCCTCAACAGCCCTCCAGTGCCCTGGCAGCCGCCAGTCCCAGCCTGGCGTTTTGAGGTTCCACAATCAACTCTGGCATGTTTTAACTGGCAGGGTGAGTGAGGTCTGTCCTGGCTATGGTCCAGAGTCTGGGAGACCCAGGGAACTGGCTTCAGGGGCCACAAGTCTAAGAGGACCTCTACTCCTCCAGGGACATTTCGGCTCCCCAGGGGATGGTCTTACCTAGACAAACTGGCCTGGCCAGTGGTGGGGTTAGAGAGAGGCTCAGGCCACTGTGCCCAACATAGACTCATGGACACATGCCCGTGGTCCTCGGAGCCCAGCTGGTGTAGGCGGTGCCAGGGACAAAAGGGGAAAAGTGCCCCAGTCTCATCCTGGGAAGCCATCGAGTGGTTACCAATGGGGGCTCCTGGGTTCCAGTCCTGGCTCTATTTCTCAAAGCCCTGTGACCTTGGGCAAGTTGCCGAACCTCTGTGGGCCTCTATAAGATGGGACACTCCCTACCTGATGAGGGGATTGCACGGAGGCTAGCGAGATCATATATGGAAAGCACTTGAGCTGAGCCTGGCGCTCACCCGGGCTGGGTATCTTCGTCGCTGTCCCCAGGCCTTCACCAACACCTATCTCTTCTATGGTGCGTACCGAGTGGGGCCTGAGAGCAGCTCGGTGTACAGCATCCGCCTGGCCTACCTCCTCAGCCCGCTGGCCTGCCTGCTTCTCTGCTTCTGTGGGACTCTGCGGCGGTGAGAGCGAAGCCCATGCCTTCAACCCTTCATGGGGGAATCTTCCCCGATCCCCCTTTCCTTGGCAGTGTACTCTCCCACTGGCAGGAACGCCATGGCCTCGCACAGCAGGCTCCTAGGTGCTTCCTCAGCCCAGGCTCTGGCCGCAGACCTTAGGAACAGGGCCACTGCCCCCCTATCCCTACCCCGACTCCTCACTCACCAGAACCTGCACCTGGGGCTGCAGGCATCCTCCCCACCACAGGCCCAGAGCCGAGCCAAGGCTGAGGCTGGATGGTAGAGGTGCCCCTCCTCCAGCAGCCCCTGGTCTCCTGCCCCGCAGGATGGTGAAGGGGCTGCCGCAGAAGACTCTGCTGGGTCAGGGCTATCAGGCACCTCTCAGCGCCAAGGTCTTCTCCTCGTGGGACTTCTGCATCCGGGTGCAGGAAGCGGCCATCATCAAGCAGCATGAGATCAGCAACGAGTTCAAGGTGTGTGTGCGAGCGAGTGCGTGAGATCCACAAGCTGCAGGTGTGTGTGTGAGCGAGTGCGTGAGCTCTACAAGCTGCAGATGTGTGTGCGAGCGAGTGCATGAGCTCCACGAGCTGCAGGTGTGTATGTGAGCGAGCGTGTGAGATCCACGAGCTGCAGGTGTGTGTGCGAGTGAGTGCGTGAGATCCACAAGCTGCAGATGTGTGTGAGTGTGAGATCCATGAGCTCCAGGTGTGTGCAAGCAAGTGCGACTGTCCCAGTGTGTGTGAGCATGTGTGGGAGCCTGTGGGAGCATGACAGAGAGCATGTGAATGTGTGTGCATGTGAGGGCACATGTGACTGAATGGGTGACGGTGAGCACTCCTGTGAATGTGTGAATCGGAGTGTCTCTGGGAACGTGACAGTGTGAGAGTTTGTGACCGTGTATGTGAGTGTGAACGGTTGTGAGGGCATGTGAGAGCGTTTCCTGCACCCTTTCCTCCCACGCCCACCCTGCCTGCAGCTGCCCCTGTCCCCACACTTCCTGGCAGGTGGAGCTGGAGGAGGGCCATCGCTTCCAGCTGATGCAGCAGCAGACCCGGGCCCAGAGGGCCTGCCACCTGCTCTCCTACCTGCGGGTCAACGTACTCATCGGGCTCCTGGTGGTTGGGGCCATCAGCGCCATCTTCTGGGCTACCAAGTACTCACAGGACAACAAGGAGGTGCTAGGCAACTGCATTCATTTAATCCTGGCCAGAACTGCGTGGGGAGATGAGATGATCCCATTTTACAGATGAGAAACCGAGGCTCAGAGAGGTTCAATCGGTCGTGGCCACAGGTCACGGCCAGGACAGGCGGACTCCCACTGGATATTCCCACTGACTGCCAGACTGCCAAAGGGAATAGCTTACAGTCTTCCCTATTCTGGGCCTGCCCCAGAGTTACACTTTAGGAGGCCATGGGGGGCAGAGAGCTGACAGGGGCCCCCCAGCACACGGGCTCCCCTGACCTGCCTTTTCCTGCAGGAGTCCCTGTTTCTGCTGCTCCAGTACCTGCCCCCTGGGGTCATCGCCCTGGTCAACTTCCTGGGTCCCCTCCTGTTCACATTCCTGGTCCAGCTGGAGAACTACCCTCCCAACACGGAAGTCAACCTCACCCTGATGTGGTAAGTGCCACCCTTGGTGGGGACAAGTCTACATCCTGTTGCTCTGTTTTGGTTGTCACCTGGCACCTGGGGTCCCCAGCTGAGAGGCTTCCCTGTTCACTAGTGGCCCAAGGGAAGGCAGGTAGACACCTCACGGCACACGACCTCATCGTCCCCAGGTCTAAGACTTTCCAATCCCCCGCCTCTGAAGGAAGTCGCCAGTCTGGACCAAGCTCTGGCCATTCAGTGGAGCAAGGGACTGTGGCCAGGGGTGTTGGGAATGGGCTTTGCACACAGGAAAACCAGCAACACGGGACATGCAGAGCTTCTACACCCTGAGAGTGTACTCCCCTTACCTGGACAACCCTCACGTGACCCATAAAGTCCAGACCATCCTCATCCCCCTTTGAGGGATGAGGAAACTGAGGTTCACATGGGTGAAGCGCCCAGCCAAAGTCAAGCGCATCGTGCCTACCAGGTGCAAGTTCAAAAGCAAGCCCTCGACCTCCTGGGCTCAAGCGATCCTCCCGCCAGAGCAGCTGGGACCACCCCCCAGGCTCTGCCATCTTCTGCCTTAGTACTTAGGTCCTGTCTAGACCCCCTACTTCTCCACCCTTCACCCAGCCCCAGAAATTCTATTGTAAAGCCCACCTGAACTCCCACCGGCTTCTCTGCCTCCCACCACCCTCACCCGTCACTTGCCCTAACTGTTTTTCCCTCTGCTTCCTCAAAGTCAGCTGTGTTTGGTTTGCTTTGAAACTTTATTATTTGAGGCCCGGCATGGTGGCTCACACCTGTAATCCCAACACTTTGGGAGGCCGAGGCGGGTGGATCACCTGAGGTCAGGAGTTCGAGACCAGCCTGGCCAACATGGTGAAACCCTGTCTCTACTAAAAATACAAAAATCAGCCAGGTGTGGTGGCGCACACCTGTAATCCCAGCTACTCAGGAGGCTGAGGCAGGAGAATCACTTGAACCTGGGAGGGAGACATTGCAGTAGAGTGCACCACTGCACTCCAGCCTGGGTGACAGAATGTGACCCTGTCTCAAAAACAAACCTAAAAATTCAAAGTGTTCAACGAAGTGGAGATTTTAAAAATAAGCCCTTGGACTGAGCTCAGTGGCTCACGCCTATAATCCCAACACTTTGGGAAGCCGAGGTGGGAGGATTGCTTGAACCCAGGAGTTCAAGAGCACCCTGGCCAATAAAGCAAAACCCTGTCTCTACAAAAAATTAAAAAGTTAGCTGACCTTGGTGGTGCACGCCTGTAGTCCCAGTTGCTTGGGAGGCTGAGGCAGTAGGATGGCTTGAGCCCGGGAGTTTGAAGACACAGTGAGCTGTGATCCCACTACAGCACTCCAGCCCTGGTGACAGAGTGAGACCCTGTCTTTAAGTTAAAAAGCGCTCACCAGCTGGGCGCAGTGGCTCATGCCTATAATCCCAGCACTTTGGGAGGCCGAGGCAGGCAGATTACCTGAGGTTGGGAGTTCAAGACCAGCCTGGCCAACATGGTGAGACCCCATCTCTACTGAAAATACAAAAAATTAGCCGGGTGCAATGGCGCGCACCTGTAATCCCAGCTACTTGGGAGGCTGAGGCAGGAGAATCGCTTGAACCTGGGAGGCAGAGGTTGCAGTGAGACGAGATCGTGCTGCTACACTCCAGCCTGGGCTACAGAGTAAGACTTCATCTCAAAAAAAAAAAAAAAAAAAAAATGCTCTCACCTACCCCTAGCTCCCTCAACAGGAGAACCACTGTTCCCAGCCATTCTCTAGCCCCGTGTCAGCAGTGGGAATGTCCCCTCAGAGATAACACGTGGCCAGGCACAGTGACTCATGCCTGTAAGGTCAACACTTTGGAAGGCCAAGATGGGAGAATCACAGGAGTTTGAGATCAGCCTGGGCAACGTGGCAAGAGCCCGTCTCTACAAAAACTACAAAAAAATTAGTTGGGCATGGTGGCACACCATCCTAGCTACTAGAGAAGCTGAGGCGGGAGGATCACTTAAGCCCAGGAGGTCAAGGCTACAGGGAGCTGTGATCACGTCACTGCACGCTAGTCTAGGCAATGGAGTGAGACCCTATCTCCAAAAAAAAAAAAAAAAAAAGGTAAAACAGATAACGTGCATGCGATGATGTTTCGTTTAGACAATCACACCTATTTGGTCTGGTCATGCATTGTGCAATACATACGTGTGGCATGTGTTTATGACATGCAAGCTCGTGTCAGTGGGCTTCGATGTCCACAGGCGGCAGAGGAAAGGAGGAGCTCGCCTGTAGTCAGGACCCTGAAAAGGCCACAGACTTCTCCACTGCAGGGCCTGCTGCATGTGCCTCTCCACAGTGGGTGTGGGGGAACGTGGCTGGACTGTGCAGTGTTTCTCAAACTGATTTAAAAACAGAACCCTTGGCCGGGCGCAGTGGCCCACGCCTGTAATCCCAACACTTTGGGAGGCCAAGTCGGGTGGATCAGCTGAGGTCAGGAGTTTGAGACCAGCCTGGCCAACATGGCGAAACGCTGTCTCTACTAAAAATATAAAATGTAGTCAGAAATTGCTTGAACCTAAGAGGCAGAGGTGGCAGTGAGCCGAGGTGACACCACTGAACTCCTGCCTGGGTGACAGGGTGAGACTTGGTCTCAAAACAAAAAAACCCCCCACAGAACCCTTTTTCCCATGAATCACCTGGAGACTCAGACTCTGAGAATACACTTTGGACCACGTTGCCACAGACAGAGCAGGTTGGAAGGAGACTGGGCCCAGGAAACAACATGATCCCACTCAAGACATCAGCCACACCTGTAGCCTGGGGGGAGCCCAGTGCCTGTGTGCCTGGGCCCCTCCACCTGACAAGGTCCCTACCCCCAGGTGTGTGGTGCTGAAGCTGGCCAGCTTGGGGATGTTCTCCTTCTCCCTGGGTCAGACCATACTGTGCATTGGCAGAGACAAGACCAGCTGTGAGTCCTACGGCTACAACGCTTGTGACTATCAGGTGGCTGGCAGCCCGGCGGAGCCTGTCTCTCCCTTCCTTCTCCCCAAAAGCTCCCCTCAAACTGTGCAGAGCCCTGTTTCTGCCCCTTTAGTCACCTTTGAGAGAAGCTGTGAGCAGGACTGCCTGCACCATGGCACACCTCCAGGGGGCGCCACTGCTGCCACATGGTGTAGTATGGCTGCCCTGGCTGTGAGGCTTCCTGCTCTAATCCCATCCTCAAGGCCTGGGTTTCAACCTAACGATTCTATCAGACACCAGGCAAGGCACCTGTACCACAGAGACCCCCCACAGGAGGCTAAGGGAAGGGAGGGCCGGGAGGCCATGAGTGGTGACAGGTCCCCTTCCCCTGCACCCCAGTGCTGGGAGAACTCCGTGGGGGAGGAGCTGTACAAGCTGAGTATCTTCAACTTTCTCCTCACCGTGGCCTTCGCCTTCCTGGTCACCCTGCCTCGGAGGTGAGCCCTGGGGTGACGCCTCCAGAAGGGTAGGGGTGCCACGGGCATGTTGGGGGTGGCCAGTGGCTACAGCCAAGGGTGAGCGGGTCCAGTATGGAGCCTGGGAGTGAGTGGCAGGCTGTGGCTATGGCCAATATGGCCCACGCATCTGTCTGGAGTGGTGGGTACCTGGACTCTCCCATCCCTGCAGGCTGCTGGTGGACCGGTTCTCAGGCCGGTTCTGGGCCTGGCTGGAACGAGAGGAGTTCCTGGTCCCCAAGAATGTGCTGGACATCGTGGCGGGGCAGACGGTCACCTGGATGGGCCTCTTCTACTGCCCCCTGCTGCCCCTGCTGAATAGCGTCTTCCTCTTCCTCACCTTTTACATCAAGAAGGTGTCGGCTCATGGCTGGGGGGTATGGGGTTCGTGCCTTTGGGTGGATGCCTTGAGCGGGGCTTGCCTCCTGTCCCCTTTCCTGGGTGTCAGTCTCCTGGGGTCTGCATAACTCTCTGATTCCTTGTTGCTGTTGCTTGCGCCCCCAGTACACCCTCCTGAAGAACTCCAGGGCATCTTCGCGGCCCTTCCGCGCCTCCAGCTCCACCTTCTTCTTCCAGCTGGTGCTCCTCCTGGGCCTGCTTCTGGCTGCAGTGCCCCTGGGCTATGTGGTCAGCAGGTGAGGGGAAGAGGAGGGGGACACCCAGAGGATGGCAGGGGTATCTCCTCACCCAGGACCCTGATGCCAGCCCGCCTTGGCCATCTCTCTCCAGCATCCACTCTTCCTGGGACTGCGGCCTCTTCACCAACTATTCTGCCCCCTGGCAAGTGGTCCCAGAGCTGGTGGCCCTTGGGCTCCCGCCCATTGGCCAGCGTGCCCTCCGCTACCTGGGCTCCCACGCCTTCAGCTTCCCCCTCCTCATCATGCTCAGGTGCTCAGGGCAGCAGGGGCCATGGGAGGGGGCACCTGGAGGGAGAGGTCCTTCCTTCCATGGGGGTGGTGAGCCTGTGTGCACCCCCAACCAGCAGCCAGATGCAGAAAGCCAAGGGAAGCAGGGGCCCCTGAAAAGCAGGTACCTCCTGGGCCCACCCTCTGGGCTGCCGTGGGGATTGCAGGATCACTGGGGAAGCACCATGTCTGGGCAGCCGCAGCTGCTGAGCTCTTGTTATTGCTGTTCCAGAGGTGAGGGGATGAGGGGCTCTTCGAGGAAGGAGAGGAGGGTCCCATCCTCAGATACAGCAGTGTGCAGTGAGAAGACCCCAGTACCGAGTATTGTGGAGACTGAGGTGGGGAGAGAGGAAGTCAGGGAGAGGCGCTTGTGGCCTCAGGGGCAACTGACCATGAATCCCCTTCCAACCCAAGCCTCGTCCTGACGGTGTGCATCTCCCAGACCCAGGCCAATGCCAGGGCCATCCACAGGCTCCGGAAGCAGCTGGTGTGGGTGAGTGTCCTCGGGGCTGGCAAGGGGACAGCAGCTTTAGTGGAAACCGTTCCCTGTGTGTGGCCAAGGGCCTGGGACAGGTCTGAGTGGGTCAGGCGGGTTCTTCCTACTGGAGGGCGTGGCCTCAGGCTGAAGATAAAGATGGGGAAGGGGAGGAAGAGAACAGCTCAGGCTCCTGGTACCAGGAACCAGACCTGATAAGACATGACCTTAGGGGCTGGGCCTCTGCCTGTAATCCCAGCGTTTTGGAGGCCCAGGCAGGAGGATCAGATCACTTGAAGCCATAAGTTCAAAACCAACCTGGGCAACAAAGCAAGACCCCGGTCTCCACCAAAAATAAGTAATTAATTTTTTTAAAAGAGAATGTGGCCGGGCTCGGTGGCTCACGCCTGTAATGCCAGCACTTTGGGAGGCCGAGGCGGGTGGATCACGAGGTCAGGAGATCGAGACCATCCTGGCGAACACGGTGAAACCCCATCTCTACTAAAAATACAAAAAAATTAGCCAGGCATGGTGTCGGGCGCCTGTAGTCCCAGCTTCTAGGGAGCCTGAGGCAGGAGAATGGCATCAACACAGGAGGCGGCGGAGCTTGCAGTGAGCGGAGATCATGCCACTGCACTCCAGCCTGGGTGACAGAGCGAGACTCCGTCTCAAAAAAAAAAAAAAAAATTACAAAAAAAAGTAGCTGGGCGTGGTGGCACGCGCCTGTAATCCCAGCTACTTGGGAGGCTGAGGCAGGAGAATTGCTTGAACCCGGGAGGTGGAGGTTCCAGTAAGCCAAGATCACGCCATTGTACTCTAGCCTGGGCAATTAGAGTGGGAAAATAAAATAAAATAAAATAAACGGGCACAGTGGCTCACGCCTGTAATCCCAGCACTTTGGGAGGGCGAGATGAGTGGATTGCCTGAGGTCAGCGATTCAAGACCAGTCTGGCCAACAGAGTGAAACCCTGTCTGTGCTAAAAATACAAAAAAAATTAGCTGGGCATGGTGGCGGGTGCCTGGGGAGTCTGAGGCAGGAGAACCGCTCCGCCAGGAGGCGGAGGGGCAGAGGTTGCAGTGAGCCGAGATCACCCCCTTACACTCCAGCCTGGGCAACAAGAGCAAAACTCCGTCTCAAATTAAAAAAAAAAAAGGTAATATGGCTGAGTGCAGTGGCTCACGCCGAGGCGTGAAGACTGCTCGAGTTCAGGAATTTGAGACGAAGCTGAGCAACATAGCAAGACCTCGTCTCTACTTAAAAATCAAAGAAATGAGTTGGGCGTGGTGGCGCGTGCCTGTGGTCCAGCTATTCCGGAGGCTGAGGTGGGAAGATCGCTTGAGCCTGAGAGGGTCAGGCTGCAGTGGGCTGTGGTCTTGCTACTGCACTCCTGCCTGGGCAACAGAGCGACACACAGTTTCCAAAAACAAAAACAATTTAAAAAAAGATACGACTTTAGGCTTGGGAACAGGGGTTTAATAGAGCTGAAGGCAGAACAGTGCCATGGCTAAGGCGTGGCCTCAGGGTGGGGCCTTTAACGGGGGCGTGGCCTCGGGCTGCTTGGGGACGGACTCTTAGGGGGCGTGGCCTAGAGCTGCATGGGGTGGGACCCTGGTGGGGCGAGGTCTCAGGGCATGTTGGGGGTGGGCCCTTGGAGGGCGTGGTCTCGGGCGGGTATGTGGAGGGAGTGGCATCTGGCTGCGTTATGGGCGGGACTCTTGAGGGCGTGGTCTAGGGCTGCATCGGGGCGGGACCCTGGTGGGGCGTGGCCCTGGGAGGGTGTGGTCTCGGGCGGGGCATGGCCTCTGGCTACTTTGGGTGCGGGCTGGCCCTTGGGCCGAGGAGCTGCTGCCGCTGCTGTCCTCACACCCGCTTGTGGGAAGCGGCGCCTGTCGCAACTCGCCACTTGCTTTCCTCACAGCAGGTTCAGGAGAAGTGGCACCTGGTGGAGGACCTGTCGCGACTGCTGCCGGAGCCAGGCCTGAGCGACTTTCCGGGCCCCAAGTCCCCTGCCTGCCAAGCTTCGCGCCCTCGGTCCTTCTGCCCCGGATTCCCGTGCCCTGGCTCTCCGGGCCCCCGGGCCCCGCCGCCGGGCCCCTCCATTGTGGATGCCTCGGGACTGCGTTCCACTTGCCCTGGACCGCACGGTACCCCGGCCTCCGCTCGTAGATTCCGCTTCCCCAGCGTCGCAGAGCTGTAACCCGATCCCTGCCTCCCCGAAGCCTCCCTGGGGCCCCTCCAGGCCTCCTTACTTCATCTTCCAGGCCCCTGGCAACCACCGCCCTCCTCAGTGGCTCCAGGGCCTCCCTCAGGGGTCCCCAAAGACGGACACACAAAGCAGGAAGAACATATGGGAATTTTCCCTTTATATTTTGATCTCATCCCTTTAAAATGTCTATTTTTATTACGTTTTTTATAATATACATAATCTATTAGTATAATATCTCATGAATGCAGTTTTTTTCTAGAGTGTGTTCTGACTTTTTTTAGAACCATGAGGGCAATTTATACACATACATCTATTGGGAATCCTCAGAAGTTGTTTACTGATGGAAGCAGCTTCAGAAGAGTCTGGGGACCACTTCCTAAGGAAGGAAAGAGCTGGCCACAGTTAGAGCAAGCCTGCCTGGGGGGCCTGCTCTGTGTTCCAGAGCAAACTGCCTGCATCATCCCCTCCTGTTACTCTCCCTTCACCTGAGACAGTCAAGCCACAGCCTCAGCCGGGGCCAGAGCTGGGATTTGAACCCAGGCACTCAGGCTCCAGAGCCACACTGCCCCAGCGTGGGGCTTAGAGGCTGCTCCTGGCTCTGACTGAGGGGCTGCCTGAAGCTAGGTGAGAGGGTGCTGGGTCAGCTTTTCCCTAGCGGGAATCCTCTCCGTCCAGTCTTATAATTTAGCAGCCTCACGTCTACAGAGCTGCCTTGGAAAACTCAATAGAGCCCTGGCTTCCTGCAGAGCCCTGTTCTCCCAGCCTGCTTCATGGCTCCCTGGTTGAGCTAAGCTTGCGGATCTGTGGCGTGAAGGTACCCGCACTGCCTGGGCCTTAGTGGTATGTATGGGCCTCCACTGTGGGCAGCAGACAGGGGCCCAGGCAGGTGAGGCAGCTGGCCACAAGGGCAGGGCTGGGTCCCCCTCCCAAGGCTGTGTCTGATATTCTTGAGGCTGTTCAAGGTTCCTTTTCCAAGCCTCCTGTTCTCCCACCCCCACCCCTGCCATGCTGCAGTGACTCTAAATCTGTGGTTCTCAGCCTTGGCGAACACCTGAGTAGCTGCTACAAGCTGGCCGCAGCCCAGCGACTCTGATGTGGTTGGTCCAGCAGCCAGGGCATCGGGACTTTTCGAAGCTTCCAGGTGACTCACCGGCAGCTGGGGATGCGAAGTGTCAGGAAGGAAGGTCAGAAGTCCCAGGATGCACTTGAAAAGCCTCTAGCTCCACCAGTGACCAACTCCTGGCCGGACTCCTGGCCTGGACTCAGCATCCGGGAGGCTCTGGTCTCTCACCCTCAGGGCTGGGGGCTTCTTCACATGGTCATCAAAGACTTGGCCAGTTCCGCCTCTCCTTCGGCCATCCTTGTCTCACCCAGCATCACATGACCCATCAGTTCACCAGCAAACACGGTGAAGTGCTGCTGGTGCTGGGCCCTGTGCTGGGGTTGAGGGTTCTCTGGCCCTCATCTGGCGATGAGAGAAAGAGGGAAATGGTGAGCTCTGTGTTCCGTCGGGGGGTAGCGACAAGTCTGGACCAGATAAAAGTGACTCATGTTGTTAATTAGCAGCTTAGGGCCAAAGGTGGCCCCTGGACCAGTGGCCTCAACATCACCTGGGAAAAGGTTAGAAATGCACTTTCCCAGGCCCACCTCAGCCTCCTGAATCAGAGCAGCCCTCTGGCAAACTGTACTGAGAACCAACCACGTACATCACCGAGCACTGTGAATAAGACAAGCTTTGAGACCTTGAAGGAATCATCAAACTCTGGGCTTCGGTGTGCTCACCCAGGGCGAGACAAAGAGGCTGTGCTCCTCCAAGTGGCCTCCAAGATTAAATGAACAATACCTTTTTTTTTGTTTTTTTTTTTTTTGAGTCAGTCTCTTTCTGTTGCCCAGGTGGGAGTGCAGTGGCAAGATCTTGGCTCACTGCAACCTCTGCCTCCCAGGTTCAAGCCATCCTCCTACCTTAACCTCCTGAGTAGCTGGGACTACAGGCACCTGCCACCATGCCTGGCTAATTTTTTGTTTTGTTTTTGTTTCTGAGATGGAATTTTGCTCTTGTTGCCCAGGCTGGAGTGCAATGGCACGATCTTGGCTCACTGCAACCTCTGCCTCCCAGGTTCAAGCCATCCTCCTGCCTCTCAGCCTCCTGAGTGGCTGAGACTATGGGTGCCCGACACCACACCTGGCTAATTTTTTTGTATTTTTAGTAGCGATGGGGTTTCACCTTGTTGGCCAGACTGGTCTCTAACTCCTGACCTCAGGTGATCCACCTGCCTCGTCCTCCCAAAGTGCTGAGATTACAGGTGTGAGCCACCACACTTGGCCCATACAGTGACTTTTGAAGTGTCTCCATGGGGACCTAGAAATGCAGTGGTGGCTCCTATTACAATGTGGTCACTGGCCTGAAGGAGCCAAATGGGAGATGATGGGGAGTGGACCTGGGGCCCCCTGTGATCGGGACCACCCAGGAAGACAGCCTAGGGGTCCTCAAGCGATGGGCTTCTTCCAGCAGGAGGTATCTTGGAGCCAGTGACAGGCAGGGCCTTGGAGAAAGGGAGGCTTTTGACAGGAGCTGAGGGCAGAGAGGGAGCCTGAGCAAAGATGGGCCACAGTGGAGGCTGGGAAGCTGGAAATCTGAGGCGTCTAGACTGGGATGCAGGGCACACGGGGACAGCCAGTGTGAAGACGGAACTGGTGCTCCGGCAGCGTGTGCTGTGGGCTGGGATGACTTTCTGTACATGACAGGAAGCTGGGGGCCATGACCTAACAAGGGGCTGTGCCAGGCGATTAGAAGTCCTGCCAGGCAGGAAGGGACTGTCTGGGGCTCATCGCAGTAGATGCAGTAAAGGTCTTACCAGGCGGGAGAGCCCACCGCACGTGGGGTGTCCCAGCTGCCCCCAGCCTTGGGGACTCGGCCCTCCCCTGCCCAGCCCTGAGAGGTCGCCCCATCTTTCTGTGTCCCTGCAACCCCACTATCCTGGCCAGGGCAGCCCAGAGCAGACTCCCACCCACAGGACCCTGCCGGGGACACAGTATAGGGGAGGAAACTCGGAGATGCTGGGAAGAGCATTTGTTACCAAGGACAGTGACCTCTGCGAGCAAAAATCACAGAACATCAGCCTGAAGTGGGTGGTTGGAGAGCTCTTGGGGGCCTCCAAACTCCACGCAAGGTGACCTGGGGGTGACCTCGGAGGCATGGCTGCTGTGTCCTCACCTACTCTGCAGTCTGGACAGAGTGGCAGCGCAGCCCAGAGAACTGGTCAACCAGACGGGTGCACAAGTGATCCCTGAGGGTGAGGGGGTACAGGAGAGATGTTTGGGTCTCTCAAGGCCTGGGGAAAATGGCCCATGAGTCCGCCTTCGCGCTCTGACCCCAGCTTCCCCACACACTGGGAAGAGAAAGAGCTCCTCATAAGCTGCGTTAACTCAACTGAACACCACATGGAGAAAAAGAGTGAGTTTCCCTGGCCTGCAGGCAAGAGGCTGCCAGCAGCCCGGGGCCTGGGCGGGCAGCCAGCTCCCCAGCAACCTCTGTCTCCCTTCAGTCTTCAGTTCCCTTCCCCACCCGCCTTCAGCAGAAGTGAGAACAGACTTTGGGAAGGGAAGGGAGTTTTACCAGGAAACTAAGAGAAAATGCTCTAGCTCCCCAGCTGGGAGAAACTGAAAAGAGAGAGGCCGGTGGGTGCACAGGAGGCAGGCTCCATCCCCGGGACCATGGGTAACAAGCGGCAGAAACCGACTCAGGCCAGCTGGGAGAGGGGAATAGCCAGGGGTCAACAGAGCCAGTCTGCAGTGACCTCCAGGACACCTGCACCTGCCTCCCCACCATCCTTTTGGCCACTCCCTGGTCAGCAGGGCCTCTCCCTCAGACCAGCTTCTCAACACACCCAGGACTCCGGTGCAGCACGTCCCTGAGAAAGGCCGAGAGGAGAGCTGGGGTGGGGCTGTGAGTGGCCTCCCTTGGTCAGGTGTTCACTCCTGGACGGTGCCCAGGGGCAGAGAGTGTGGTTGACCAGTCAGGAGCCACAGGTGGCAGCAGCTCCCACAGGAGGCAATGGTCACCTGGCAGCGGGGGACACATTCCTGAAGGAGGCAGCCAGAAAAGGCGTTCCCCACACCAAGTGTGGGAAACTGAGCCGGGCCGGAAAGTGACAGGCTGGTCCAGCATCCCCAGGCTGAGCTTGGACACAATGCCGGGTGCAGGGACCCACAGCGGAGCTGGCAGGGTCCCAGCCTCAATCCCCTGTGCCCTCACATCTGTCTGTGTTCCGGGGACTGCCTGGCCCCAGCCCTGGCCTCAGGGCTCTGGGAGGCCCTGCTCACCCCTGCCCTCCCTGCGGGTGCAGGAGGCTCTGCCACTGACCTCTGCACACACACCGCCTGCGATGCAGCTGGGTCTGCTGCTGCCCAAGGCCAGCACTGGGGCCAGTTCCCTGCGGAATGACCATCCATGTGACTTCCCACCATCCTCAATGGGGCCTGAGGAACTTCTGAAGGGCAGTGCTTGGGCACACCACACTCCAAGACCCAGGACTCCAGGACACATCACACGCCAGGACCAGGGGCCTCGTCCGTCTGGGGTTTCATTCTGGGGCTGGGTGCAGCCTTGGCCACCCGGCTGTGAACCATCATGGGTGGGGCTGCCTCTTCTCAGCCCAGCAGGTCCCCAGCTGCTGGGAAAGGACCCAGTGATTACATGAAGGTCACCTGGGTCAGCTAGGACAACCTCCTCCTCTCAAAATGAGAAGATTCACAGCCTTCATTCCTCTCGCTGCGTGACATGGTGTTCACGGGCTCCAGAGGTTAGAGCGTGGACATCTTTTTTTTTTTTTTTTTTTTTTGAGACAGAGTCTCGCCGGGCACGGTGGCTCAAGCCTTTAATCCCAGCACTTTGGGAGGCTGAGACGGGCGGATCACGAGGTCAGGAGATCGAGACCATCCTGGCTCACACGGTGAAACTCCGTCTCTACTAAAAAATACAAAAAACTAGCCGGGTGAGGTGGCGGGCGCCTGTAGTCCCAGCTACTGGGGAGGCTGAGGCAGGAGAATGGCGTAAACCCGGGAGGTGAAGCTTGCAGTGAGCTGAGATACGGCCACTGCACCAGCCCGGGCGACAGAGCGAGACTCCATCTCAAAAAAAAAAAAAAAAAAAAAAGGAGCAAGTCTCCGCTCTGTCGCCCAGGCTGGAGTGCAGTGGCATCGATCGCTCACTGCAACCTCTGCCTCCTGGGTTCAAGCGAAAAAAAAAAAAAAAAAAAAAAAAAAAGAGACAGAGTCTCGCTCTGTCGCCCAGGCTGGAGTGCAGTGGCATGATCTCGGCTCACTGCAACCTCTGCCTCCTGGGTTCAAGCGATCTTCCTGCCTCAGCCTCCCAAGTAGCTGGGATTACAGGTGCACGCCACCATGCCCAGCTAATTTTTGTATTTTTAGTAGAGATGGAGTTTCGCCATGTTGGCCAGGCTGGTCTCGAACTCCTGACCTCAGGTGATCTGCCCAACCAGGCCTCCCAAAGTGTTGGGATTACAGCCACCACACCCCGCTGAGCACGGACACCTTCTGCCCACCACATGAGCCCAGGGTCTTGCGGCTCAGAGGTGACTGCTGAGTCTAAGCCCCAGTCTGGCTTCAAGGTCCAAACTCCTTCTACTTCTCTGCGGATTGAGCGGGAGTTTGCTGTACTGGGCCCAGCCCTGGTAGCTGAGGCCCTGGAGTGCTGCGGCCTCCAGGTTATCTCCCCGCTGCAGGCACCCATCCAAGGAGCATCCCAGGGGCCTCAGGGTGGGGGAAGCCAGGAACTAGGAGGTTCTCACTGCCTGAGCAGAGGCCCCACACTCACCGAGGCATGGGGCTCCCTGGGCTGCTCTGCTTGGCTGTGCTGGGTGAGTCCATGGGGGACGTGATGGCGGGACTACTGCCAGGGCCTGGAGGCCTCGGGCTCAGGTGGGGGTACTGGGAGCTCAGGAGAGATGAGGCCTGAAGGCAAGGGCACCTCTGGAAACATGGGACAGAGAGGGAAAGATCTGGGCTTGAGTATCGGACCAGCCCCTAAACTTGCTGCATATGTGGTCCAGGGATTGCTTCACCATTCTGGACCCACTACTTACCCATCTGCAAAATGGGCTGGTGATAGGAGATGTTGGGGGCGGGGGTGGCGCAAAAGAGCTTTTGTGAGTGATGATGCCAGCTGGTCCTGGGGCCTCACTACTAGGAATCAGCCTGCTCCTCCCTCCTGGCTTCACCAGGTGGGTCTCGAGGCTGTCTCTAGCCTCCCCTCCCTGCCAGGCCCTCTCCTCATCGCCCTCACCTCTCTTACAGCCGCCAGCAGCTTCTCCAAGGCACAGGAAGAAGGTAAGTGGCCCAGCATACTGCAGGGAGAAGTCTCCCCGCTGGGATCCTGGTGTCAGAACCCCCACTGTGGAGGGCGCCTACAGCTGGGGAAGAAGGTACTAGTGGGGAGGTGTGTGCTGGAGGATGGCCGGACAGTTCTGGAATATTCTCTCCACCCTGCAGGGCCCTGGGAGTGATGGAGATGGGCAGGCCAAGCAGGCCAATGTGAGGACCTCCGGGGCACACAGGCAGGGAAGTTGCTCAGCTTCCAGCCTCTGGCTGGGCTGTTTGGAGGGAAGATTCCCTGGGCAGGCGCATCCTCATCGCTCTGCCCCAGGTCCCTGATCGGGAGCAGAAGCCCCCCTGAGACCCTCCCAGCTTTGCCCGGTGGGCGAGGCCCCGTGGAGGGCTGGGGAATTCTGGTGGGTTCTGGGAGGTCGAGATTCTCTGACCAGGAGGAGGGCCATGAGAGAATGGTGAAGCTGAGGCTCCCCCAGGGGCCTGACATACAGGAGGCTGCC